ACTGTCTGATCTATATAGTTTGGGTGTCTCTTTCTCTCTCTGATTATTCAGACTGTCTCTAAAAATTAATTTAGAAATTTGATAAAATTATCAAAATTATATATATTCTCTATTTTAGAGAGAATATATTATATATATATATTATATATTATATATATATATATATATATATATTTATTTTACTTTATTTTGCTATCCTCATTCACATAAATGAACTAGTGTCCTGCATCCACTAGTAAAACTATATATAAAAATTATATCTGGTGTCTGAATAATTTTTGCTTTTACTGTGTGTGTATATATATTTATATATATATATATACCACACATATATATATATACACACACACAGTAAAAGCAAAAATTATGCAGACACCAGATATCATTTTTATATATATATATTACTAGTGGATGCAGGACACTAGTTCATTTATGTGAGTGAGGATAGCAATATAAAGTAAACCGTGACAAACATTATACCAAAAAATTCTTCAGGGACTACCAGTAAAATGTATAAAAATTTGGGACCAAAAATTATTCAGACACTTTGATCTGACCATGTTTTGCTTAAGTGTTTTTTCTTTAATTGCTAATGCAACCTTTTTACACCACAGACTGAACAAAATTAAGAATTTTGGAAATTGGTGGACCTAAATTGGTATTATCTAATTGTGTATTTAAATTTAACATCTGACAGCTTTTCAACCTAATTCATTTGAGAGACAGTCTAACAGAAGGGTGGCCAAAACCAGTGAAATATCAACTGATTTGATAACTCGTGAGTTCTTGTCATATTTTATTACCGTTTTCTAAACTATAGCGAATAAACTGTGATAATTCACACTCGCGCCCCCCGGAAATTCAATAAAATTCAACAAATCAGATGACGACTTCGACATTGCTGAAGTGTTTCCAGTTAAGTGTACCATATGCATCAGACGTTTAGCCAACGTTCCGTGGGCGTGACGTCTGAGGCTGAGACTACGTGTGACCTAACCGCAATCTCATAATCTCTCCGCAACCCAACCATACGTGCCAACCCGTTTGACTAAGGCTGTCGAGCCCCACTGTTTTCGTTAAAGTAGGTTCAGTGGCAACGGTTCCGTATGGCATAGGCTACCACCTACCGCAAAACACCATTTCTGCCCAATCACCAACCATCATTCACGCAATATACACAGGAACGTAATAACTGTACTTACTATGCAAACTATACAAATAAACCAACAGACTCTTCAAGTTTTCAAGAATTCTACGAAACCGTAGCGTGGCGGCCTGCACACAGCCAGCTAGAATCTTTCCGTCTCAACCACAGCCAGTTGCTGCTCCTTTCTGCTGCGTCAGATAAGTTCTTTACTGTGCGACGCAACTCTTGGCCACTGAATCCGACGTCTCTGAGGAACCGGGTTGTAGAGTGTGCCACAAATCCTCGACAACCCACTTCCACTGGATAAACCTGGACTCTCCATCCTCGCTGTTCTGCTTCAGTGGCCAGATGAGCATACCGCAGTTTCTTCCTCTCATATGCCTCATCTACCGCATCCTCCCATGGCACTGTTAACTCTATCAGTTGAACAATGCGTGCTGATCCAGACCACAAAACAATATCTGTTAGTGGTGGCAATCTCAGGTGGAAAAATAAGCCATTGATCAAGATCAGCCAGCATTTTCTAGTCCCTAGCAGCTTCCAGTTGTCCTGGGCGAGAATTGGTTTTAACACCTTTTCTTGGTGGTTGCTCGCCTGGGCGGAGGAATATTGTCTTCTGCGTGTAATGTTTTGCTAGAACAGGCGACAACTTATTGGTCATACTACGCTTGCCTTCCAATGCTAAAGCCAAACATCGCAGTACTTGGTCATGGCGCCAAGTAAACCGACCTTGGCTAAGAGCCACCTTACATCCTGTCAAAATGTGCCTTAATGTGGCAGGTGATGAACACAAAGGACAAGGGGGATCCTCTCCTACCCAGAGGTTTAGGTTCTGCGGTGATGGGAGAACATCATATGTTGACCTAATAAGGAAACTGATCCTACTCTCTTCCATTGACCAAAGGTCTTGCCAGCCCATCTTGCGTTGCCCATCTCATCCACTCTCCCTGCTTGGCCTGGGAAATGGCCTTTATACACCTCATCCTCTCCTCCTGATTTTGCACCTCGTTGACTACCAGCTTCCTCCTTTGAGCTGGGCCTGCCTTGTGCCATTTAGGAGGAGCTAAACTGAGCCCAAAACCCCCTCTTCCATGCTGTACCTGTCCCACGATATCACCAATTTGAAGGGCAGCCTTTGCCTCTGTCACAGATTTCTTTGCTGACCACTTTCTACCAGTTTTTAACACAGGGGCTGCCTCCCTTACACATTTGTCGCGTGACTCTACTAAGGTCATTTCCAGTCTGACCTTGGCGCACTTAAACATTAAACACTCATTATTATAGCCACTTCTTTTTTCATTACATGTCACCCAAAGAACACATTAAAATGCAAATTAGAGACAACGTATAGATACATTGTATATAATGGGAAACCCCATTTTTGGCCATGTTTAAAAAGCAAAGTAAATCAAATCATTCTCTAATATCTTTCATAGTTGTGCATGTCTTTGTGCATAGTTTGGTTCAGGAGGAAGTTTCCTGGAGCTGTCGCAGTCCTGAAAACCCTGATTTACAGCAAACACATAAATGCAGTCACACAAAATGTAAAACATATTTTTCCAACATTACCTATTCTTGTATCTGTTTTACAGAGGACAAGTTATAGAAGAAAGAAAAAAAGAACCTAAAAATTGACTGGTATAGGCTATTGTATAAAAATGTAATATAAAAAAATATTGTTTTGGTTATAAAGTCTTGTTTTCCTTTTCTTATTAACTGAGTCTTGGCTGCATCTGAAATCGCACACTCTCTTGAGTAGGTAGCTACTAGGTAGCCTACCTATTGAATAATTACTTTACAACCGCTAAAAAAGTTTGTTCTATATGAGTAGCCTATGTGTAGTAGCCTATGAATGTAATCTGGATCTTCTATTCGCTAGTATGTTGTCATTATCATATGACCTACCAGTAAAATAATTTTCATCGCTTCACTGCCATTCATAAATCCTCTCCCGTGGCCTCATGGGATTGTAGTGTTTAATGTATGCACACTTCAGAATCTCGCTGAAAGTATGCCATCAGTACTTTTTGCCTACTCTGAGTAGCCTATGTGAATTAAGATATTCTGTCACATAGCTATGCAATTTCGGATGCAGCCCTGCCCTGGTGTCCTCTACATATCATAAAAGATTAATACAACTTTATTTTCGCCATTTGTTTACTCTAAACCTGATGTAATGATGTAAAAAACGAAATTGACAACTGTCTCAGCCAGGAGGATATAGAAATTTCGACAGGATTTGTTTTGAGAGAGAGAGAAATTGCCGAATTACACGTTTAAATAAGTATTGGGTTTCAACTTACACAAATATCTAATGATACAGATGTAAAAACTAATAGCTTATATGGACCGTGAACATATTTAGAAAGTTTGTGAACCCCGTTTTTTTCAGAGAGTTTAACTTTAAAAAAAGTAGGCTAAGCCTTATAAATACACAGCTTATATTTCCAACAATGTAACATGCATGTAAGAGAAATACAAATGTTTCACATATCTAAAGAACTGCATAGCAGCATCATAAAACATAAAAAAAATTAACATCAGTTATTGATGACATATGATGAACGTTAAGGATAACATTCATAACAAAAACATATAGGCTATATATCACACAAAAATATATATATATATTCACATATTAAAGAGGAGGAACAAAGAAGAGAGAGGAAACAAAGAAAAAAGATAACAGAAAAGGGTATATGTGTATAATCAAAATAAAATAAAAAGGAATTTAATTATTTGTAAATGTCCATAGTTCTGGTTGCTTTACGGCTTGAAAGTCCTTGTAAGGTTTCAAAATAAATCTGTATGTCAGGGTATCCATTCAGAACATTTACATTATGTAAAACTTACCAAGTAAGATTTAACATAAAAATGTGATTCTTGTATGTCTTTTTTTGTCATAATAAAAAATAACATCTTTTTAATTTTAATTCCACTGAACATATTAAATAAATATTCCACATCAATCCAAAAGAATCTAACATACAGTACATACATAGCCTATAAAGATCAGTTGTAGGCCTACATTTTTTATGGTTGGTTGGATAAATGATAGGCCTACGTATCATTTTAAAGTATATTTCAGTAACTTCATTATTGATAGAGTGTTTGTTATTATAAGTCCAAATCAATCTCCAATTAATATTCTCAAAATATTCTCCAATTTATTAGCTATACGAAATATTGCTGGGCAATAAATTAAACGTCTAAAAAAGGATTACTGCATTTGCTATCATTACTTTGAACACCGTTTATCAAGACCTCCTTTTTAAACGTTGATTGCTATTTCACTGATGATGCCTTGCAAAAGTCTTAAAAAACCTCCTGGTTTTGCATCAAATATGCTAGCCTATATTTTTGTGGAGATATTGAAATACCGAATGTCTCTAAAAATTCAGTACATGTAAATAAATCATTTATTTACCATTTATAATTTGTAAAAACATACCCAATTGTCGTAGAACATTTATTTCTTCTTATAAATTTAACATTTTTATTATTCCATATTATGTTTTAAATGTTTTAAGTTTAACTGGATTAAACTTGATTAAACATTATATAAAGCATAAAGATAAGCTGTATACCATTGCTTATCTTTATGCTTTATATAATGTTTATTCCAGTTCAACTTGAAATTTGTATTACGGTAGTAGATATCTAACAAAATCAAGCACATTCAACCCTTTTTCTATTTAAAGGCTTGTGAGGCTTGTCTTTATTTGAAGTTGAATAAAGTGTAACCAATTATTTTAAACAAAAGATTTTGTTACATGATACATCTAAATATTTTCGCAGGGACACAGCTTTGTTTTGCCAGTCGTGACATCACCGCGATCGCTGACCTGAGCGCATGACTGTGACATCACTCCAGTGGTTTGGAGAAGCCGGAAGTGAATACAGGGAAATTACAACAAACATAGCGAGGACAGTTACTGATCCACACGAAGAGCTCGGGGGAATAAAACAAGACTGAAAACTATTGTCGTCTAATCTTCACACTTCATCAAGTGGAACCAGGATGTCGAGCATGGAGAGTATCCTTGCGGACCGCGGGGGTCGGGCCCGATCCAGATTCACTTCACTGTCGCTTGGACCGTAAACACTTCTACTTAGAGTAATTTATGAGTTGAACTCGGTCGTGGCAACATTTTGTTGTGTACGAATAGATCGGGTCACATTCTAGCCGTTAAATCTAATCACACTTTCAGATTTATGTTCGCGTCGCGTAGAAATTGAATTAGAGAGTGAATTTTGAGTTCTATAAGTAGAAAACGTTTTAAAGTGATACGTTACATGAGTTGGTGAACTCACCGTGCTGTTTATATTTTTGTACGTTTATGAAGTTTCGAATGCTTATTTTGAAAGTTTCGTGCTCGTCTAAAACATCGTCAAATCCGCCCAGGTATGACTGTGACGTAGAATTACGTAATGTCGCCACCTATAACTAGGTAAACTCTCAATCCAGCCGGTCAGACTAGTTTGTCAAGTTTCGAGACGATTTTGGTCTACATTGTTGTTTATATTGTTAGGCTTGTATTGGGCATATTATTAAAGGTTATCAGATAACTTTTACAGACATGATGATTCCTTTTAAAATCTTTTCCTTGACTTTTGACTTCAGAGCAGTTGTTTAACCTCAAGTTTGCAGCTAAAGAACTTCAGCGGAGCTCCAAGAAATGCGACAAAGAAGAGAAAGCAGAGAAGGTCAAGGTCAAGAAGGTAAACAAACCATTGACATTGGCATTTGGAGACTCCATTCATTCATATGAAGTAACATTGACCTGTGCAACAGCATCTTCACCCAACAGCTTCGCATGAACGCTGAAGATTTCTGAGCTACTTTATGAGTATTATGTTTCTCTGTCTGGATATTTTCTATCTGCATAGTAAAAAAGTATTGAGAAAATAGATTTAAGTCAATATATATATATATATACACACATTCATACATACATACATATGTATACATTGTCAAAAATTATACTAATCTAAATGTCAAAGTATAGCCAAAAACATAATTGAGAATGTTGAGTCCAACACCACATTAGATTGTACTTTAGTATTTTAAAAGTAAATGTTCCATAATTACAGCACATGTAATCGGTCAACGTTGATGTGATGTTATGAAGCTCACTGCTTATGTTTTGGTTACTTTAGGCGATCCAGAAGGGCAATATGGAGGTTGCACGGATACATGCAGAAAACGCTATCCGCCAGAAGAACCAATCAGTGAACTTCCTTAGAATGAGCGCGAGAGTGGATGCAGTGGCTGCACGAGTACAGACGGCTGTCACCATGAACAAGGTACACAAATGGCTTTCTCCTTTTAAACCAGATATATTCAAGTAGTTATCCAAATAGATTTAATAGTTAACTTTTGATTTTTATTCTCCAGGTCACCAAGTCTATGGCTGGGGTGGTGAAGGGCATGGATGCAACCCTGAAGAGTATGAACCTTGAGAAGGTGAGAGGAAGACTTCTCTTTGACATAAACAGTTGTAGTGCTTTGATTTGTCTTTATCTTATTGGCTCTATATTTATTCTGTGTTCTGATTCGTCAGATTTCAGGTCTGATGGATAAGTTTGAGCGTCAGTTTGAAACTCTGGATGTACAGACGGCTCAAATGGAGGACACGATGAGCAGCACCACAACACTGACCACACCACAGGTCATACATGCACTCGCATACTACAATGACTGCACCGTAGGCCATAAATACACTGACGTAGTAGTTGTTTTGCCTTTACTGACACTGGTGTGTTTTAGGGTCAAGTCGATTCTCTGATGATGGAAATGGCGGATGAGGCCGGGTAAGAACATTTGAAATGCTGAGATTTGTTATTCTTATTAATGAGTAAATACTTTAATACACACTTTGCCGTTCAAAAGATTGGGGATTGTAAAAAAAAAAAATGTAATGGTTTTTGAAAGAAGTATCTTATGCTCACCAAGGTTGCATTTATTTGATTAAAATACATAAATGTTGTGAAATATACATATTACAATTTATAATAACTGTTTTCTATTTGAATATATTGTAAAATGTCATTTATTCCTGTAATGGCAAAGCTGAATTAGTATCATTATTCCCAGGGCTTGACATCAACTTTTTAGCTCACCAGCCACTGTGGCTAGTGGTTTTCCAAAGTTACTATCCACTCAGCATTTTCACAATGGCCACAATTTTGACATCGAATAGCATGTAAATAGCCACATAAATATTTTTAATAATATCTCATAATTTGGCAGCAGGTTTATTAGGCTGTTGTCACTTTTAGACCTGACGCACGGATCCATCATACTATTACAGGTTTTTTCTTTCTCAACTACATTCACTTAAAACGTGAATTGTTTACGTGAATACTCGCCAAGACCGGCATTTTGTCATTATTTTGTGTCTATTGTAGCGTTTAAGTGCAATAAGCGGTGGGGAAAAAAATCTATTTAGTACTGAGAGGCAGCTTTATGTACGCGTACTTTGGGTATGAGCACAAAATCTGCGGGAATTAGTAAAATTATGCGCAATATGTGCAATCCCACGCCAAAATCCAAGCTCTTTAACAGCAACAATATTCATCTGGAGCAAATGAAACGAGTGTGTGAGGGGAGGCGGGTTTGTGTGTCAACTTACTGTCGGAGAGATGAGAGGGCGAGAAAGCGCAGCTGGTATCATGTATCTATTCTGCGGAAAATGAGTATTGGAAACTTTTCATACATTTCAATATCGATATGTTTTATAAATCGAGTTTTTTGACAACACTACATTGCACTTAGTTTATTATTTCAGATGCCTTTGTAAAAGAATAAGATTGAAAAATGTGTATACTATATATCAAATTCAATAATAATGTTATGTGTGTGTTAATGTCAAGCCCTGATTACTTCATGATCCTGCAGAAATCATTCTAATGTGCTGATTTGGTGCTAAACATTTCTTATTATCAATGTTGAAAACAGATATTCTGCTTAATATTTTTGTGGAAACAAAGATACATTTCGTCAGGATTATTTGATGAACTTGTTTTACATAACTTTTGTACCATGATTAATGTCTTTACTGTCACTTATGATCAAATGAATGCATTCTTGCTGAATAAAATGTAAAAAAAAAAAAAAAAAAACCCTGACAAAATGACAACAATTTAAGATTAAAACAAACAATGTCTGTTCTTGTGTGTTTAGGCTGGACCTCAATATGGAGCTTCCTCAAGGTCAGTCAGGATCAGTGGGAACCAGTGTAGCATCTGCAGAACAGGTATTTAACACAAACATGAGTACAGACATACTAACAAAAATATAACTGAGATGTACTACAAAGATTTTATCTTTCTCACCATAGGACGAGCTCTCTCAGAGACTGGCCAAACTCAGAGACCAGGTTTAAGGAAGAACCCGGTGTGTGTGTGTGAGAGAGAGAGAGATTGTGTATGTGCCAGTGTGTGAGAAACATATCCCCTGTTTACTGACCCCTGGACATATTGGCCTCATTGTTTAATTGTGTTTAGTTCAGTTTATTCATTTGAGGGGTGTGTGCAGATGTTTGAGGGTGTGCAGCTTTCCTTATCCACTAGAACACACCGAAACCAAACCGTAATGACACGCTGGAAACTGAATCAGACAAAATTAGATATGTTATTTGGTAACGCTGCTGTCATCAGGATTGTTCTGGGGTCCTGCTCTCCCTCAGTCCATAATAATTGGTATAAAGATTATAATATTGCTTGCAACATTTCTTTGTAATATTCCTCATTTTATTTAAGTTCATGTTTTAAATACTTGCTTGTCTCTCATATACATTTTATGCCAATGTAGCTACATTAACCTATACCAGCATTAGTATCAAACAGCTGTTGGGTAAAAATTGTGACATGTTTTTTTTTTTCTTGCTGCACAAGTTTTTGCCTCTGCTTCAATGGATTGTGGGAATTTGTACCTTAAAATGCATGTGATCAAGATGATTTGAGATTTGAAGATTTGAATAAAATCTTTTCATTTTGTCCAAGGCAGTAAAATCCCCAGTTTATCAGCCCTAAGTCTTTACAGAAACTGATTTTTTCTGTTTTGGTTTATCCGAAATGTAAAAAACAAAAAAACTTCCTTCGGCGATGTACATCTCGATCAGCTGGCTCAGATGAGAATATATATATATGTTTGTGTGTATATAAATAAATATTTTGCAAATTTCTATGTTTTTGAATGTAAATAATTTAATTCACATTTATTTGTATATTGGGAAAATCTTTTTTTCTACAGAGAATTGATGTCTGTTGGCATTATAATACTAGTTTTCAGACTTGTAAGATGACTGTGATTTGGGCCTAGAGTTACAACAGGATAGGATTTTGATTGGTCCATTGGGCTCAGGAGTTAGAAGAGTGATAGGTTTTGATTGGTCCGTTGGGTTCAGAGTTAGCAGAGCTGAGCAGTTGTTACTGATGCATGGCTCATGAGTCCAAGGAGAAATGTGCTGCTTAAAAACCAAAACCAATTTATATATTCATATAATTTCCCGTTGGAGTCTTGATTTTATGTGTGTCCAATTGGAGTCCTGGAGTCTGGACTAAACCTGGAGTCATTTAGATGACAAATCTAAGTATTTTATTCGTGCAAAAGAAGATGCGCACATGCCTTAATTGTTCTTCCCTCAAAAACAATATTTTATCATGAATTATATTGAAGAAAATAAGACTGAAGAAAAAAAATCTCTGTCAAGTCAAACAAAAAGTTTTAAAAACCTATAATTATTATCATACATGTGATTAAAGAAATATTTGTACTTCTGTAAAATTCCGGGGCCAAAAAAGTGAACAGCTAGAAGGTGATTAAAGCAGGTGTTTAAAATGTTTTAAAATGACCATTTTCCCTATATATAGCCTACATCCATATACATTTCCGCTTAAAAGTTTGGGGTAAAATTCTCTATATAAAATAAATTAAAAAAAGAATATTTATAATATACTTGATGTATATATATATATATATACATATAATTTATTTTTAAGAAAAATTATATTTTCTCTTATCCATTTGCACTGTTCAAAAGTTTAGAAAAAAATAATATTTGTATTAAGCAAGAATGCATGATATTGGTAAAAAATTACAAAAGATTTCAATCTTCAAATATATGCTGTTCTTTTGAACTTTCTATGAACTTAAAAATGTATCACAGTTTTGGCAAAATATTAAGCAGCACAACTGTTCAGCTTTACCATCACAGGAATAAATTACATTTTAAAATATATTAAAATAGAAAACAGTTCTTGTAAATTGTAATAATATTTCACAATTCTGCTGTTTTACTGTATTTTTGATCGAATAAATGCATCCTTGGATACTATAGCATAACAGAGTTTTTTTACTGACACTAAACTTTTGACCAGTAGTGTACATTATAACTTAGTCATGAAAAAATGTCATGTCCATTTTATTTGAAACTACTGTTCATGAAAATGTCACTAATTTATGTGACCAACTCTATTTTTTCTCCTCCCATTCTCTCCTGCCCCGCCCCTTCATACCCCACCTTTTTTGCTGGAGTGTATTTTACTCTATAGATGAGAAAGACAGATGGGTTGACTGATCATGGTATTATTCCATTTAAGCACAGGAAGAGAATTACGTTTTTAGACTAGTATGAAGATCAGAAACACACTTTGTGTGTTTCTTGTTGAGTATAAGGATGTAATATGGACCAACTTTCTAGAATTTTTTGGGATCCTGAAGAGGAGCAGCTGAAGGTGAGTCAGGGAATTTGTCTCACACATGCATGCAGGTTCATACATACATTTTTGTCTCTCACATGTTTATCATATACAGATTTTTAATAACAATGAGGTACAACTGTTAGCTTCTTTAACATTTTGAATGATTTATAATAATATAAAATACATATTCACTATTATATTTATAACATGTTATATCATAATATTAATTGTGTGTGTGCGTGTGATGTTTTTGGAAAAAGTAAAATTGCAAGTATTTTCTGTGATGGTAGAATATACAGTTTGTAAATCATTATGTCTATGGGATGTCCCCATAAAACATGAAAATCTAATGTGTGTGTGTGTGTGTGTGTCAGAGGAATGGTTGTTAGCAACCATGATTTCTCGTGAGACATTAGCTCTGTGTGTTTGTCCTCTGAAGACAGTTCTGTGTCACTCTGTGTTCTGTGTTTCTTTAATGATGAGCCAATTACCAAAAACATTGTTAACATTCATCTAGAAACGGCACTATCCATCCATCCGTCTGTTGAACCATCCATCCATCAGTCTCTAAGCCGTTCCCTTATTAACCATGAGATCATCCTTCAGTTTGGATCTTTTGTGAGAGATCTTTTTTAAATCTCTCCCTGTTGCATCTATATCTTACGGTAATCTGAGGTGATTGTCATAGTGACCATATTCCCAGGCGAGAAGTGTTTGCTGGTAAATCCCCTGACCTGCTGTCCCTGCATTTCATCCACAATGTCTTTGACATGCACTCCTGAGAAGTTTGCAGGGCCAAGTTGCACTGAAAATGGAATGTAATTTAGCCAAAAAAATGTCCAAATTTGTCAATAAAAATCAGCTAATTCTGACAAAACCTCACTTTGGGCACATTCAAATTTGGAAAAACAATCGAAAAACTAAATAAATATATTTGAAATAAATATAAATAAATATTTTATTCTTTTTTTTTTTAGATGCATGTGTTTTGTTTAAGGGTTAGCATATAGTAATTGTCCCATGCTAACAGGGAAGGCTCTAAGAACTTTGTCTAACATTCTGGCAAGGTTCTCTTTTAGTTAAGAACAAACGTCCTTCCAGTAACGTTATGTTTGTCCAAAGTTATCTAACATTATCAAAACATTAGCACAAAAAAAGTTTTTCTGAAACATTTGAATTGGACATTCGTTTTTAAACTTTACTTTTTTGAGATGGTTTAAAGAACATTCACAGTAGGCCTATAACTTTCCCATAATAGCAAAATGATAAAATAGAGAAAACATTCATAATGAATAAGTATAAATACAAAAAATAAGTATTCAAGTTCATTTTATTAAGTATAGCCTAAAGTTTTTGTAATACTAACATCAGTATAAGTGTACTGTTTTAACACTTGGGACTAAATTGGCTCACTTTTTATAAAAGTATAATACTTTAAGTGTGTAACAGTAGTAAACTTTGAGTACACAACTTTACAACTGAGTTTTTCTTTGTACTGCAACTATACTACAAGTGAACTTAAGGGGAAACTGATAGTCAAATACTTGTAGCACATATTTTAGTTAAAATATGCTTCTGAGAAGTAGCCTACATAAAAAGTAGACTGAAAGTATACTTTCTTATTTTTTAGTTTAAAAGAAGTATACTATAGGACACTTCTTTTTCATAAGGGTAAGTGATCGTGTGTGTTTGTATGTACAGTATGACGGGCCAGTCGGCTGCTGAGGGATCTCCCTGCTCTCATCGTCTCTCTGTGCAAACTCAAGAGGATGAGCAGGACCGAGCAGAGAGTGTGCTCAGCAGGTCAGTGATTTTGTGTTTGTGTGTGGTCTGTTTTCAGACCAAATGTCCTCACAATGATAGTAAAACCAATTTGGTGATCTATAGCTTGTGGTCCTCAGAAGCGAAGTGTCAGGATGAAACAATATCATTTCATGTTGTAATTTTTTCCCCCCCACTTAATCAATATTCTATCAACAGCATGCTGTCATTTACCTCGGAATTGACTCATTCCTCAGTAACAAAGTAAAACGATTTGTGCAGGGCTGAAAGTACAGCACTGCAGATAAAAGTTTGAAATATGAAATCGTCACACTATTCCAAAAGTATAATCATAACTCTTGAACATTTGCATAAGTGTGTGACTGGTTTGATAAAGACCAAAAAATCCAAACTTGAGGGGTCAGTAAGATTTTTAAAAATGTTCTTGAAAGAAGTATTGTTTGTTCACCAAATACAGTAAAAACACTAATACTGTGAAATATTATTACATTTTAAAATGTAATTTATTCCTGTGATGGCAAAGCTAAATTTTCACCAGCCATTTCTTCAGTCTTCATTGTCACATTATCCTTTAGAAATCATTATGTGCTGATTTGGTGCTCAAGAAACATTTCTTATTATTATCAATGTGGAAAACAGTTTATTTGCTAACCATGATAAAAATAAAAAGCTCAAAAACAGCATTTATTTGAAATAGAATTCTTTGGTGTCACTTGTGATTAATTTAAAGCATCCTTGATGGAGGTATTAAAAGTATATATTTCTTTCAAAAAAATTAAATCTTACTGACCCCAAACCTTAATAAAAATAAATAAAAAAATAAAATAAAAAACAACACCCTAAAGGAATAGTTCACCTAAAAATGAAAATTCTGTCATCATTTACTCAACCTCATGTTGTTCTATGAATTTCTTTCTTCTGCTGAACACAAAAGACGATATTTTGAAGAATGTCGGTAAACAGATGCTGGTCCCCATTGACTTCCATAGTATGAAAAATAAATAGGCTACTATCTATGGAAGTCAATGGGGACCAGAAACTGTTTGGTTACTGACATTCTCCAAAATATCTTCTTTAATATGTGTTCAGCAGAAGAAAGAAATTCATAAAACTATCCCTCTAACATATTTAACATAAAACACTTCAAGAACAACAGAATTCGATTGGAGTTAACCATGATGGTATAAAACGTGTGATTTCAACTCATTTCTCATTTCCTGCTCATATGTTCTGTCTTCATCCATTGGTTGCTCTCCCAGGGCTCAGTCTGCGTGTGATGACACCTCGTCTGAGCTGCAGCGAGTAGCTGCTCTAGAGCCCCATGATACGCCATCAAGAAACTCCTTTAGAGGAAGAGGAGCTCTGTCCAGGTTTAGGATCCATACAAATATGCACATACACATTCTCACATGTGCCACAGCAAGTCTGGATAAATCCTTTCTCTCTTGTGTTGCCAGGTTGGTGACTCTGGTGGTGACTCTGAGAGACTGGGCACACAGGAGTCTGATAGAGGAAGAAGAGAGACCCGATTCCTTCCTAGAGAGATTCCGGGGACCCGAAGTACGAGCCCCACCCAGTCGAAGGAGCAACAACCAACCAGACGCCAATGGAAATACTAAGGGAAATACAAAGTAATGTGACACATTTATTTTTCTTTGACATATGGGCATGAAACATCTGCATACAGAGAGGATAAATCTGATAACATTTGTTACATATGTGTGTTTTTTTTTCCCACAGCAAACAATGGGAGACATTTATAGTTTCTCCATCTGATGATATTTACTACTACTGGCTCTTCTTCATTGCCGCTGCTGTGCTCTATAACTGGGTTCTTCTTGTAGCCAGGTGTGACTTTTCACCTAGTCTTTCTTCTTTACATATTCATCATCACTATACTTTGTTAATGTGCTCCTGATAAACACAGTTCCCTGTGCTGTCAGTTTGTTTCTGGCGTAACTAATTGTTAAGATGCTCTAAGGCTCTTTCGTTACGCCCGTCACTCTTCCACAAACAGAACAGCCCTTTGAGACAACTGCTTGACTAACTGTACAGATGTGTGTTTCTGCAGGTTGTCTAAATATTTGTGGTTCTTATGTTTTTTCTCTTTCTGTCTTTGAATAGAGCATGTTTTGATCAGCTTCAGACTGAGAATCCTATTGTCTGGCTGGTTTTTGACTATATTTGTGACTTTGTCTACATACTGGATTCATGTATGCGGCTAAGGACAGGTATATAGACACACACACATACTCAAAATTCCTGACTTACACCACATGTTAAAGTTACTTATCCCAAAGATTGAATTCATTAAGTGCCTTCACTCATTACAGAAACACTATATGAAAATCATGTTATATATTATCATCACAAAATCTTGTATTGAATTGCTTTTATGCATTTGGAGGATGCTTTATTCCAGCTTACATTGCATTCAAGGTACATTTAATCAGTTACTGCATTCCCTGGGAATTGGCATTTCCTGCACCGTGCTTGACTGTATAAGCTACAGGAGTGCTTTATATTTGTGGACAGCAAGTACAAAAATCAATGCTGAACACAACCATATTAGTTGCATTTGATTTGTTGCATAACTAATTGTGCATAGTTTAAATTAATAAAATAAATAGCCGTATTAACTTTTAAAAGAAAACACTTCCCATATCTTTTGTTGTTGAACCCGTGTTTGTTCCATGTGATACGCTGGAAAATCACAGTTATGCTGTTGTTTAAGCATTTACAAAGTCAGTTTTTCTATTCGGGCAAAGTCATGTTAAAACATTTGCATATTTCATGTTAATTTAAAACCATGATGAAATGAAAATTCATCTATTTTCTAATTGTGTGCTATTGATTTTATTGTAAACGTTTCATACATGCATGTTTCATTCTTTTTTATTTATTTATTTTGACCTCGTAATTTCTGGTGAAACGACATGACTTCTCTTTGGTGACATATGCCAGATTTTGTCTGCTTTAACCCCGCCCCTTTCTTACACATCTGCCTCCATCCATTCAAAAACTGATGGATAGAACCAAGTTCTCTTCCTACATTTTTTCTTTTCCGTTTCACTCAGATGTACAACACAATATGGAAGATTGATCTGTCGCCACTTCAGTTTCATCGAGACTTTTTTTCTTTCTTTCAGCATCTGGAAGCATGTGCAGATTTTTGTATTCTTTGTGTTACTAAACGAACTATAAAGCATTTTTATGCTCTTCCAGGTTACCTGGAGCAAGGACTTCTGGTGAAGGACCTAGCGAAACTCAGAGACAGCTACATTCATACATTTCAGTTCAAAATGGACGTTATCTCCATCCTTCCCACGGACCTGGCGTACATCATCTTGGGCATCAACACACCACAGGTCCGCTTCAACCGCCTCCTGCGCTTCTCTCGTATGTTTGAGTTCTTTAATCGTACTGAGACGAGAACCAACTACCCAAACATCTTCCGCATCTGGAACTTGGTGCTCTACATTCTAGTTATTATCCACTGGAATGCCTGCATCTTCTATGCCATCTCAAAGTCGCTTGGTTTTGGGTCAGATCCATGGGTTTATCCCAACATCTCATCTACAGAGGAAGGAGGTCTGAGACGGAGTTACGTATACTGCTTCTACTGGTCCACACTGACACTGACCACCATCGGAGAGATGCCACCACCCGTACGGGACGAGGAATATGTGTTCGTGGTGTTTGATTTTCTTGTCGGAGTGCTTATTTTTGCCACCATTGTGGGTAATGTGGGTTCCATGATTTCCAATATGAACGCCACACGGGCAGAGTTCCAGGGACGGATTGATGCTATTAAACATTACATGCACTTCCGCAAAGTCAGTCGCCATCTTGAGACACGTGTTATCAAATGGTTTGACTACCTGTGGACAAATCAGAAAGCGGTGGATGAACAGGAAGTCTTAAAGAATCTTCCTGACAAGCTACGTGCAGAAATTGCCATCAACGTTCATTTATCTACTCTGAAGAAAGTTCGCATCTTTCAAGACTGTGAGGCCGGACTGTTAGTAGAACTGGTTTTAAAACTGCGCCCTCAAGTGTACAGTCCTGGTGACTACATCTGCCGAAAAGGAGACATTGGAAAAGAGATGTATATCATTAAAGAGGGAAAATTAGCAGTTGTTGCTGATGATGGGGTGACACAGTTTGCATTGCTAACAGCTGGAGGTTGTTTTGGTGAGATTAGCATTCTTAACATTCAGGGTAGTAAAATGGGAAACCGTCGGACAGCTAACATTCGCAGCATTGGCTACTCTGACCTCTTCTGCCTTTCAAAGGACGACCTAATGGAGGCCGTAACCGAATACCCAGACGCTCAGAAGGTTCTGGAAGAGCGTGGAAGGGAGATTCTGAGGAAGCAGGGGCTTCTGGATGAAAGCACTGCACAGGCAGGCTTGCTTGTCATGGATACAGACGAGAAGGTTAAACATCTGGAGGGCTCACTGGATGTTCTACAAGCACGTTTCGCACGGTTGCTCGGGGAGTTCACAGTGACTCAAAGCAGCCTAAAGCAAAGAATCACAGCGCTTGAGAGACAACTGTGTCATACGGGCCTTGGGCTTGTTTCAGATCAAGAGATGGACTCTGAGAGTAATGCTAACACACCACGAGCCAATTCAACTGCATAGATATGCGCATTTGCACCATGAAGATTTTGTGCCTCTATGTCACATGCAGGATTAGCCTATATTTCTAGATGCACATAAATTTACAGTCACAGACACTTGCTTTTCAAACGTTCCAACAGCCTCCAGCGTTTAGACTTGGTTTTTCAAGTATTGTCTTTAATGGATTTTTTTCAGGAAAGACGGCATATTTAATTTTCCCTAAATGAAAATGTGTGAGAGATAGTCCTTCAATATATATATCATCAGTGTTGTTATTAACTATTTTTAATTGAAAAAAGCTTAAATAAAATATAAATTCATCTATCCATCAATTCTCCATGTGTCCATGTAAAGACTATCAAATATAAATATTAGGTAATTATTTTTTAAATCAAACGAAAATGAGAAAAGTTGGCAACTAATTGAAATGAAAGTTGATGTAGCTATACTAAAATGACAAACTAAAACTGAAATATAAATGAATTTAAGATAAATGGATTAATACAATTACAAATGCACTTAACTAAATTTAAATGAAAGCTAAAAATATTAATATTTCTTAATATTAATAAAGGCTCGTTTTCATTTGTGAAACATTTAATATGGCTGTGAAAACAGTCCATTCCCAGGACAAATGCTGCTGAGTCAAAATGTGTATTGATAGACTGTATAGGCTCCATGTTGGGTCCATACCTTAATTAGCTTTTTCACACTAATGTATGCAGAAAATAACCAAATGTATATTCTGCATTGTTACTGTGATCAGATTTGCAACTCGCTCATTTCCGTGCAAAAATAAAGCTGACATTGACCAGCATCAGTCGTCTCCACGTGTGTTTAAAAAAAAAAAAAAATGTATGAACTTTATTATGAACAATACACAGGACAATAGGTACAGAGAACACTACAAATACTGTGCAACCTGGTCAACAAAAATTTTTATGTAGTGTACAGACCAGAGGATAATAACATATTAATTCATATAATTATAGAAAAATTCTGCAGTTCCTTCAGGAGATGAAATGTTCTTGTAGCCTTCATATTTTGCATGTTGTCTCCACGTGTGGTTATGACGAAATCCTATGAAGTAATTACGCCATCACCTGACGTCAGTCACGGTCACAGCATAGTTTCCGGTGCGCCATTTTAGGCTGCATGGCGCAAGTTCCACTGGGAAGATGGCGGGTGAAACTGGCTTTTGGTTAGTTATTTCTTTTGGACAATTATGAGTTTTATGCCGATAACTGTTAAACGCATCGCTGCTGTTGGTTCTGCTAAAAGCTCGACGGTGTGTTGAACCACCGCGCGTGAGGAAGATGTCTACTGAAGTCTTGAGGTAAGGCGCACTATTTTCTTTTGCACTGCTAACGTACACTACACACTGTTGTGTTTGTTAATATTCACCGGCAATACATCAATTAAATCCAGTCGCTGTTTGAATTAAATATCTGCTCTTTAATCTCCCTTAGATAAAGTAATGTTACGTTTTACGTTTTGACTTTGCAGTTTTGGTCTATCTGCACCAGGCGAACAAAGAGTCGGTGCTCCACAGAGAAAGATCTATAAACCCTATTTAAGTCTTATTAAACGTAAACCTCACATATTCCTGTCAGACTGAAGCATGAGATATGGTTCTCTATAGAAACTCTCTTTGGTTGTGTGCACTGTGGTTTGGGGTTTATAAAGGGTTATTCGGTGTATTTAATGTTTAATGAGGGATTCCAGCGGGAGGCAGTTGCCATGGAGATGAACTGTGTCTTGTCTTTGCAGACCCAGGCCGGTGGCCGGTGGAGGAAGTAAGTTAGGTGAGCTGATTGGAAAGCTCCATGAGTACCTGTCGGCATCTACAGAAGACAAAAATGAACCTACTTTACCTGGACACTGGAATGGTGAGTACAGTAGGGAAAATATATTGATCATTACAGTCACAACAGAACCAGAACCAAAAATAAACTCATTAATGGAGCAGTTATAGTTAATTTTCTATCATATCTCGTTGACAGGAACTACGGCCAAAGAATACCTGGAGCAGCAGGCTCTTGTCCAGACCGCAGAGGAGGTAGACTGTTTCTAGAGTGCTGCAGGGATGAGATGATCTTCACAAATGAAAACAACTTGCATACCTAAACCTAAATACAAATGAATCAGAAAGTTAAATTTAGGCTTCAAACGAACTTCACCACAGTCGCATGACTTTAACATCACTACCACTAAGCTTCAGATGACTTTTTCCATCTTGTTTTTAAAAAATCTACAATTTGGAAAGTTTGATTTAGTATACTTTGCAAGAGCGTGAGTTTAAACACAGTGATCCTGTAGAAGTGGCCTATATTCCTGTTTGCCATGATGACGTTTAATGTCCCTGACAATCTCTAGTCTCATTTAGCCACAGGTTAGCAACCGCCTTTTTCAAGACACGTAAAAACTTAAAGAAATGACAAGTGGGTTATTGGTGATGTATTTTATGTAGTAGAATAAAGAAAATATCTTAAGCTTGTAATAACCACAGATGTTATTTGAGGCATTTAAACAAAAACCCATTGACTTTGGGATGATGGTACCGGAAGTTTAAAAGTTTTAGGTCCTGTGGCACTCTATTGTATAGATTAACAAGAACTCCCATTGTAATTTAAGTTGCCTGAACTTGGTTTTTTTTGTTTTTTTTTTAAAATGTTTTTTCATTTCAGCCCAGTGGTCCCTCAGAAGTGGGAATGTTGTCGTTGGCTCGTTCAAGAAGGTTTGTCAATTAAGGATGAACCGCATATGGACACCCTTTGTGCTCTGACTTAGTGAACTCATTTGTAAACTGTTACTCTTACAGGAAACCGACTGTTGTCACCAAACACAGCGGGATGAACGAGTCAGACGTTTCATCTGAGAGTGGAGCAGAGGATGTGATGTCTGTCCACTCCAACGACCATGACACTAACTTTCTACCCAAAGGTGCTACTCCCATTCTCGTATTCACTTGGCTGATTCAGATGATCATGCCTGTGTGATGTATTTTATGTTATGGTTTCTGTTATTGAATACATTAGGATATTTCAAGTTGTCTTTGAACCCCTTTATATTATCTGACACAGGAACGGCGTTTGTGCTGCCAGAGCCGGTCTTTAATGAAGCTCGTGATGATTTCCGTGGTCCAGAATTCCGCAGTAGACGTGTTTACAAGCAGCACAGAGATGGTGACAGACGCAGAGGTAAGAGAGAGGCACAACGATTAGCTTTAAATAGGCCTGGCCGATATATATTCTGGTGACAATGTAAAGTGTGTATAGAGATTTTGCTGTATCATGTATATTGCGGTACATTAATATATCTACACAGCTCAGGACTGCTTGAAGTTATTGACTTGTTAGATCAATAAAGAAACATGCAAAATGATAAAACAAAGCATGGGACATGCTTAATATTAAAAAGATTTTAAGTGTAATAAGCTGCAAAAAAACTAAACAAAACAATGCTGTACTTGTGCTGTCTGACACCTGAAGCTGAAGCAAGTGCACAAAAAGCCGCCACTCAGAAAGCATGCTATCCTGAATTCAGTTCTTTCACAGCTTATTGCACTTCATTGATACAAATTAAATACCAGCACAATCTTGGTGAGAATTCACATAAACATGGTGCGTTGTCTCTTAATAGAACGTAAACGGATGGGGAAGAATTTGGATGTGTCAGTACATTAGAACTATGCACAGCAGCGTAATATACCTGCTTCTTCCTGTGTCCTTAATGTTAATCAAACAACAAAAGACAGAGAAAATCAATCACTGCTCTTTAGTGAATAACTTAAATGGCTTTAATAAGGGTTAAATGTGTATTGGTTTCATACACTGGAGACTGAAATGTTTTTTTTTATAAAATTTCTGTAGTATTTCCTACTGTACCTAAAGCACTGTTTGTTATTTCTTTTTTTGTTTATTGTATTTGTCATTTGCATCTTTGATCTTCTTTTTATTAACAAAGATAACTTAAAATAAAAAATTCAGGGCTCAACACTAAAGTTTTTTTCTACTGGCCCAGTTGTTGTTTTTTGACCCATGTAATAGTATTGTAATAAATAAGGTTACGACACCAAAATGTTAGATACTGATTCAATTACAAATTTTTTATAATACAGCAAAAACTGCTAGCCTAAAACTAAGATGATTTTTAAACATCTAAATTACATGATGTGCCAATTAATTAGTCTAATTTATCACAAATTAATTGCAAACAATCATTTAAAGTCATTAATGTGTTAAATGAGAAAAGCGCCAAATAGACATTGCAAAAAGTAACTTTAGAAATAAATATTTCATCTGATTCAACCGAGAATTTATTACACGCAAATTTTTAGGCTTCAACGGCCACGTTTTTCTTTTTTCAGAAGCTGTATTGGTTTTTAGATATATTTACAGACCAAAACTATTACCGTCAACAAAATCAACATCTTCCAAATATCTTTTATATTCTGCAAAAGAAAGTAAGTCATACATGTTTGAAACGACATGGGGATGAGTAAATATATATAAACAGAACTTTCATTTAGGCAAACTAACCCCAAAATAGAATAAAAAAAATTTCTATGAAATTATAATTTAAAAAAAGTAACTAAAACCACCAGTAGGTGGTGGTAAATGTGTAAATAAGTAAGTTGAGTCATTCGTTCGATTTGTTTCAATGAAGCAGCGCTGTGCAGACTGCTCTGTGTATGAGAAGCAGAGGTCTAGGGAGTGCATGCATTTCCTGGAAAACACACACTACCGGATGTTTTGACTCTTATCGCTTTCCGATTAGAGGGATAAAATGGTGGCCCGAGCGGCTTCAACATGCTTTTTGTCAGAGACGATAACTTGCATAATTGACTCTTGTATGCATAGCTTTGGGAACTTGACCATGATCAAACTACATTTTATAAAAATTGCCTACCGTCTCAGTTGTTTAAAAGGTTAAGGGAATTATCAGAGTTTGATAATGTTTAATTCTCCAATAAAAGATGTTACTTTTTTACTTGATTTGTTACATGTAATTACTCTGTAGCAGAATTTGACTATATCATGACATAAGGTTTTGGTGATATTGCCCACCCCTATCTTTAATGAATAAAATCCCTATTTTAAATTAAAATGTTCAAACTGATGCTGATGCTTTCGTTATTATTAGAGCTCCTGGGACAGAAAACTAAAAGCCACCCCAAATCCTATCAGAGATGTTCCCAAGCACCAAATCTCAAAACAGCCTTTTGTAGCACACATAAAACAAAGAATTCAGTGTTCATGCCAGGAACAGTTTATCAGCTAAACTTGATGGATAGTGTGTCACCCAATCTTACACAAAATAACTTTCATCACAATTTCTGTGGCTTTCCATTTACAACCGTGTGTAACCTTAATCTTGCAGTATGTGAAATAAAGCTTTCAGCTGTGTGTGTCAGGCTATGAGGGTAAACTCTTCTGATTTGTGTTTGTGTTAGGAGGATATGAGTTGGAGAGGGTAAACTGCACAGCGTGTGGTCAGCAGGTGAATCATTTCCAACGTGACTCAGTCTACAGGCACCCTATGCTTAAAGTGCTTATCTGCAAGGTATGTAAATGTGAGACTCGGCAGGAATCTGTGTAATGTTTGTTTATGCATATGAAAGTAAACAGGAGAGTCTTAAAATCAACACTACTTTCTCATACCTGCATTGTTTTTTGAGCAGGTTTGACAACTAGTGAAACTCTTCCGCAGAGTTTTATAAGAATCTGTTTGCTTTTTTTGTAGAGTTGCTTTAAATATTATATGAGTGATGACATCAGCAAAGATTCAGAGGGGATGGACGAGCAATGCAGGTACGTGAGTGTGTTTAAAAAGAGCGTTTTGTCTAAAAGTTGAGCTTTATTTTGTCACTTTTGTCTAGAGAGAATTTTATATTGCAGATTAGGGTCATATTTGTCATGATTAACTAATAAGTGTGGGTGAATATCTCCTGTACCTTCATTTATAAAATGATACATTTATATTTAGGATTTAAGAAAATGAGGCTTGTTTTAGGACCTGTTTTAGCAAATCATCAGTTTTTTAGGATTTAAATCATCATAAATTCAATTAAATACAATAAATGCCGCTATGTATACTTGGATATTTTTCCTCCCCCTTTTTAAACAAATATTCTTTACAAATAAAATGGCATTAAAATAGCAAAAAAAAGTGTCTTAAAATACTAGAATTTAAGAGATTCACTTGTGCAGAAGGCAGCCTAAGAGTCACCATTATCATAGGTACATAATGATGAAAGTCAGAGCAGCTGAAATCATCTCAATTAATAGATAGGGTTTGCAGTTGTTGTATTCACTTATTTGTGGGTGTGTAAAACAAGTGCTCTAAATCCCTGTTCATTCAGGTGGTGTGCAGAGGGAGGCAGTCTGATTGGCTGTGATTACTGCAGTAACGCCTTCTGTAAGAAATGTGTCCTGCGTAACCTGGGAAGAAAGGAGCTGTCCACCATTCTGGAGGAGGAGAGGAAGTGGTACTGTTATGTGTGCAGTCCTGAGCCACTGGTGGAGCTGGTGTTGGCCTGCGACTCTGTTCTAGAGAGCTTGGAGCAGGCTCAAAAACGAGTCTCCCGTACCGACCCAAACTCTGTCAGGGGGAGGGCGAACAAGGGTGGTCGTGGAACGGTGCCCTCTGCAGGCCTTTATCAGCGAATGCAGCGGTTTGTAGATGTCACAACATCTTTGAGTCATTCCTTCAAGGCAGTTGTTCAAAGTGAAAGAGAGGAGGATGGAAACCAAGAAGAGAAGGTAGAGAGAATTGGGCAGCTACGGATGTTCCGCGCTGTACTGGATGATCTGCATGCAGCCAACAGTGCATTACAGGTAAGAGAAGTTACCAGTTTTTACCAATTAAACTAAGAAGAATGCTTTAACAAACCATAAAATTTTGATTAGGGATGCACAGATAAGCCAGTAATTATTATTTCCATGTTAAGACTGATAGCGATACTTGTCTGATTTAAAAAAAAAAAAAAACTAAAAAAACACTAAAACCTAAAATCAATAATTTTAAATGTTAGTGTAAGTTGAATTTAGACGTCCTAATGTTAAATTATGGCAGATATAACATTTGATCAAAGATACAGCAAAAACTATATTTTGAAATATTATTACAATTTAAAATAACTAATTTAAATGTAAATTATTCCTGTGATAGTAATGCTGAATTTGCAGTCATTTCTCCAGTCTTTGGTGTCACTAAAATCATTCTAATATGCTAATTTGTTGCTCAAGAAACTTTTCTTATCAATGTTTAAAACAGTTGTTGCTTCTAAATATATTTATGGAAACCATAATACTTTTTTGCAGTTTGTTCATATGAATGTATTACAACAACATCTAATTTGTAATTGCAGGAAGCCCTAGACCACGAGCTGACTGGGCCCAAACGTGCCAGTAGAGTTGCTTTAGATAATAAATCAAAAGGGAGGCGTAGACCGAAGAAGGGCATGTCATCACGGAGCCCTGGACTCACTAAAGAGCTGGTGGTCAAACTTACTCCCGTACCAGTCAGCCCACAGCCCATCAGCAGCACCTTTCCTTCTGTTCATCCATCACCTGACAGACGAAACATGAACATTGGAGTGACTGATGGAACACTGGAAGAAAGTGGAGAAAAGGTGGAGATGGAGAAAGGGATGGAGATGGAGGGAATGACTGAGAGCGATCGACACGTGGAGAATTATTGTGGTGATAATGAAGAGAAAGAGGAGGAGGAGGAGGAGGAAGAAGAGGAGGAGGAGGAGGATCAAACTGACCCAAAAAGTTTGTCTTTATCAGAGGAGAATAAACGTTCTCCACGTGTAAAAACTACACCGCGCCGTCGGCGGACAAACACAAACCCCTCTGCCGAGCATGCTGGTTTAGCTGAGGATGACTCTGATTCTGACGAGGTGCCTGAAGTGCTGCTCCAGACCGCTGCTGCCATGGCGAATAGTGAGGAAGAGGGTTTGGTAGGTAGCAGTTGGGACGGGGATGAGGTAAACCAGCATGTCAGAAAGCAGCGGCTGTTTGGGCTGGTAAAAACCACACCTCCCGACAGAGGATCTCGTAAGCGGAATCTCAAGGAGAGATCTTCATCGTCCTCGTCATCCTCTTCTGCGTCTTCAAGGAGGGGCTCCCAAGACCAGGGGTCTGCAGTCAGAATGACTAGAGGAAGAGCCCACAAAGTTGCCAGGGTGACAGGACAGAGCGGGAGTTCATCAAGTGAGGTGGGAGGACAGGAACTGGAGAGTGGTCCGAGCAGCGACTCCGACGATCAGAGGATCAAACCGCTGACAGAGGGCGTCACATTGCTGGGCTCTGGAAACTTCCAGCAGTCTTCCGGTAAGTTTGTGTGTGGGTGCAAAAAGCCAAGATTTTCTTTATACAGTAATACCAGGAACATGTTTTTCTTAAGAAAAACAATATGTAAATATAAAAGTGTTTGTAATCTAAATGTAAAAAAGCCCCCCTTTTTTTTACATTGATCTTTAAAAAATCTGACTTGGAGAAGAGCGCTTTATACAATCCGATTATTTCCTTTTTTCTGTTTCTGTTTTGTTTTCATATTTCAGAAGCAAAATTTAGTTAGAATTCTTTTTCTGTCTATCTCTAGGTGATGAGATGGACATCCAGCCAGGTCCGTCTTTGTCTGTGGAGGACGATGATTTAGAAAATAGGTACGATTCTGACTACACCAGGGCCACACACACTTTCCCAGCACAGGCCTTCTCCACTGGACTCCAACTGTCCCAAACCCACTACAGCGAGAGCATTGATCCAAATCCCATTTAAAAACATGCAAGCATCCCTTCCATCCACATGCACAGCCGCTAGACAGTGCTTTTGAACATGTCTCTCACCCAAACACGCTTTTTTTGCTCGATCAACACTGTCCGATTTTTATTTCCCCACAGTTTCTTCCACACGCAGTAGAGAGAAACTGTAGCCGTAGGCACACACCGCCCATCAGTGGGGAAGCTCTGAGCCTGCACTGTCTAACGGAAGTCAGTGAATCATCTCCGGAGAAGCTCCTGTGTTTGAATTTTACTTTACTGACACAGACCATTGCACAGACCATGTCTTTAGCAGAACTCCTGAAAGCCACACTGTCCTCTTTACTGTCTGTGCTGCTAATAAAGCTTTTAAGAGGGTAGAAAGACTCTGAACTACTTTGCTCGGATCTGATGGATCCTGTGTTCAGTAAGACAGACAACTTCTTGTGTGTGTTTGTGTTTTAGGGCTCAGCTTCCCGGTTCTCACGCTGTAATGTTTTCGGTCAGTCAAAACAAAGGCTGTGTGGTTTGCTAACGGTAGGTGTTAGTTTCATATAACACTTTTGTTATTGACAGTAAAATGTCATTGTTGGTGGAATTCAAGTGAACACGTTTCTTAGGCAGAGTGAAACGCAGTCGTACAGTATTAGCATTTATGTTAAACGCGGTTGTGTTTGTTCTTTTTCAGGAGATTAATCCTGCGACAGACAACTGAATTTTCTACCTTTAGGAGCTTAAACTGAAGATTTGCTTATGTCTTTGTCTGAACTGCCTTTGTTAAATAAGTTAATGTTTTTTTTTTTACGTAGAGTTACTTGCGTATTTTTTTTAAAAAATTTTATTGGTCCAGTATTTTATTGGTCCAGAATTTATGTCCTCGTAAATTGGTGAGAAGGTCAAAAGTTTATCCTGTTTTCAGTTTATGGATTGTTAATTTTAGCAGAAGTTGATGGATGTCAGGGATTGGAAATTTGAGGGAACAGAAAACTTGACTCCAGCATGTAAAAGATTTTGAGTTGGTGGTTTAAATGGTAGTTTAGATTGGAGCCATGGCCTCGCAGTTGGTGCATGCGCTCTAACTCATTGATTAATGGTGCTCGCTCATGCAATGTAAATTTTAAGCCAGGCTTGTGTTATTTCTCCCTCGTTCCCACCCTTTTTTAATATTCATATAAATAAAATTGGTTAAAAGGCTGAACCAACCCAAATGTGAAACGATTGCTTTGGTGGACTTGGCTTCAGTCTGTGTTCGAATGTTCACGGGGCAGCAGCAGGTGGCAGTGATGATGCTCTTTCAGGCCCAACATGGAATCTGTACGCTTGTGTCTAGTCAGTCGCTAAAAGCAGCACGTGATCGAGTGTAGTCTTCACTCTCACATGAGTGGTTTCTGTGTGTTATTTGCATGGTTCTTACGGAGAGGCAATAAACACTTATTTATTCTTTCTCTTGTTCTCTGTTTTTTCCCCGTTTCGTCTCTTTTTCTGTAGCTTAACAGGGTTCCCACGCATCCTGGAAAACCTGGAAAACCTTGAATTTTGTAATGCGATTTTCCAATAATGGAAAAATCATGGGAAATGTTCCTAAGTATCTTGGAAAATGTGTTTACTGTAACCTTTTAATCAAACTGGTTCACCGTATCACTGACAACGTTTTCATAAAATGAAGAAATCCTGGGACCTATCGGGATTTGGAACTGGGGTCAGTTCTCATGTATTCTGGCATGAATGACATCGCAGAATCATATCGTTTTGTTTTTTCGTTTGCCTGTGTATTGTCATGAGCAGGAATACGTCATAGTCTCTGCACGCTCATCGTCATTTCTGTTCTCCGCACAGAAATCACTCATTGATATCAGCTGACATTGATACCATACATATTTCAATACATTATTATTATTACTATTATTATTTCCCAAAGGATAGTTACTATATCAGGTTAATTCGAGTGGACAGTTAGAATCTTCCGGACACTTCTTTTGTCACTCAAATGAAAGGCTAGTTCACATTAGCTGTGTATTTTGAACCATGCCAATAACCACGATACCCCAGTGGCTGTATTACATGTAAACATGAAATTATTCACAAAAATATTTGTTTTTTCTTAAGTGTGCCTGTAGAAAATATAATTAATAGATTTCTGAAGATTCTTCTCGCAAAATTATAGCAAAGCAGAATCTCTGGCATGCAGTCAATTATTACCATGGAAAACTAGCTTGACTCGTCTCCATAACCATTGAACATTACATGTTTGGCATGACACTGGTGCTATCGAATCAGAATGACCAAATTCTGATTAATATCTTCTGTTTTTGTCTTAAGTGTTTATTAACTCAGTCAATCAGATTTGAACGTTACAGTTCAAATGTCAAACATTTTTACTGGAGAATTCATGTTAAATAAACCTTTGCATTTCTGTTTTTAAACTCTCAAGCCTACTAGACTTCCAGTGTAAGTGCAGTACTACAAAAATGGTTTTGAATTTTTGCAATCTATTGGACGAGTCAACTTTTATTTTCCAAGGCAAACAACAGCAGGCCACAGATGTTGATTAAATATTAGAGTTGTCCGTCACATAAAATGCCTTGACGAAATGGAAAATAATATCTTGGACCAAGTGGGAACCCTGCCTGACCTTAACATGCATTAACATTCTTCTGATAATAATCCATTTTTTTTCACCCATCTTTTAAAGTATTCTTTTTTTCTGTTTGTTGTCTTTACTTTCTTGTGGAATCCTCTCACTTTCATTAAATTTCAAAATCCCTAAGAGCTCAAATATTTATTGCATGCTAATGTCCTTTGTTTGGAAGTATTTATTACTGTTATTGTTTTATTAAAATGTTTTATGCAGAAACAGCCTTTTCATTATTTTCATCAGAAAGAAGCATGCATTATTTTGCATCTGAGAAGAAAAAATGTAAATAACTGTGTAAGAACTGTATACGAATTGTAGTTGTAATAAAAGTTTATACCCCAGCCACAACAGCCTCTGTGCATTTTTTATTATATATATTTTGTTGTTGTTTTTTTTAGTTTTTGGGGGTGTTGCATTCAGTTTGTCATATTCAGAGGTTCAGAATGTCTTATCTACATTTCTTGTCTGCCTTTTTACATTTCACTCATAAATTAAGGGTTTTTATATTTGTGAAACTAACGGACCACTTTACAGTCCATTTGATATTTTTCATTGTTCAGTAACCTGTTATTTAAATGTTATATTTATGTCCTTTATATTTACATCCTTTATAATTTAAATGAAAAAAAAAGAAAAGAATAGAAACTACTTCTGTTCTTCAATTGTTTCTGTGTAACAAAACAGTGCACTTTTGAGAAATTACAATGAAAGAGGTTGGAGGAAGATGCATTGTTTAATGAATCTGAATCCATTGGTCACCCACCTCACATTTTGTCCCTCTTTTCTCTTCATCCCTTTTCTCTCTCTATTCTCTTTACTGCTTCATCCCATCATTTGTTTTATAAAGAATTGCGAGGCAGATTCTGCTGGCTCAGATCAGAGCTAACCTCTCTGATTCTGAGCTGGACGCCAGCTCAGATGAGCAATCAGAGAGCACGAGAGGAGAGGATGAGGAGAAGAAGAGCAAGAGCAAGAGCGAAGCATCTGAGACAACAGACGAGGAAGGTGAGTGATGGCCATTACCACTGGTACCATGGGGAACAGACATTGGAAACTTTTTTTGCATCTCGATGTTTATGGCATTTCTGAAGAAAACAACATATAAACAGCATCTGAAACTGATTTAACTTCACTATATTTTTATGTAGCTTTATAACACTTTATAATATCTTTTATTAACATATGCAGAAGATCCTTCGAATAGTTACAAATATTATTAGACATTATTCTTGTATTTTATTGTTACATGAACAAAAATAGTTTCTCTTCAGATAATGATGGCTCAGAGTCCAGTGAGTCAAAGTCAGGGTCACGCCACCGCCACCGATTGCTGCGACATGGTCTTACCTTATCAGAGGCAGAAGCAAAAAGTCAAAAGCAAGGGGAGAAGAAGAGGAGTAAAAGAGAAGTCCAAGAATTAGGATGCGTTATTGGTGAGTTAAACGTTAGATGTACAGTTGCACAGTTTTTTTGTTTTTTTTTTACTCTTAAAGAAAATGTAATGTTTTGATTATTTGTTCGGACCTGATGTTATTTAGATTTTTTTTCCATTTTAATCCTAGTGAGCAGCAGTGATGAAACGGTTGACTCTGCCCAATATGAGGAACTCAGCCTTTCAGAGTCTGAGGAAATAGGGTAAAGCTCATATCACATTCACCACCTGGAGTCTGCTATGGACATCAAACGCTTGCATAAAAAGCACATTTTCAAGTAGTACCTACCAACAAGCCTAAATGTATGCAGTGATGCATTTTTTCCCAATGTATTCATTTTTGTAGGTCCCAGTCGCCCACTCATAATGAGAAGCTTCAGAGTCCATCACGCACACCTGACAAGACCACCACTGCTAATGTGCGTGTTTGTTCCTTCTATATCATAGATGCTGTGAATGTGGATTCCTCAATTATTTATGTATTTTAATTTTTTGGGGGGTCAATATGTAGGATGATGTCTCTCCAACCACTGAGGAAAGTTTGAGGAGCACCCCTCGAGGGAGAAGGCAGATCAGACGGCTTCTAGAGGTGGGTCAGCTGGCCCGGGAGACACAGAGCGCTCTGAAAGAAGAGGAGGAGCGCAGGAAGAGATTAGCAGAGAGAGAAAAACAAAGACTGGACCGTGAGAGGAGAGAACGGGAAGAAGCAGACCCAGAGGTGATGAACTGCATGGTGTCATATTATGTTCAATTTTTCAATATTAAAGAGATATTGAAATTCTGTCCTCATTTACTCTTCCTCATGTCATTCCAAACTTGTTTCAAAAGATGTCGTGGCATTTTCATTTATTAATTTTGTCCATACAGTTTTGGTCAAAATATCTTTAATGTTCCACAAAAGAAAGTCATACAGGTTTTGAATGACATGATGGTGATTTTAAGTCATGACGCAATTTTCATTATTGGCTGAATTATTCCTTCAATGTTTTTTTAATGTTCATTATTAATGACATGCTTTTAACCTGAATGATAAATTAGTTTTGTCTATCTGTTGTCATTTTTTCCCCCTCTCACCTACTTTAGGTCATCTTAGTTTCTGAGAGACAGGCCACACCATTGGTTCTTGAGCAAGATGATGTAACGCAAAAGCCTATGTTGCAAGTGCACATGGGCTTTCTGAATAAACTTAAACCACACCAGCGAGAGGGTGAGAAAATTTGCCTTTGTACAGTTTTAATACAGTAAGTTGCACGAGGCACATTAGATGATTCACAAAAAATATTTGTTTTAACATGGTTATTTATTTATTTTGTTTAAGTGTGCCTGTAGAAAATATAATTATTCGATTATAAATATGATTATAATGAGATATTTGTGTGGGCAAAAATCCTGCAACAGAGATCTGATCTCACCATCATCGAGTCAGTCTAGAATTGCATAAAGAGACAGAAGCAGTCAAGACAGACTAAATCATGGGGTTAACCGCTAATATTTGATGTAATGGTTTTGAAAAATACTAACATAGTCATTTGTGGTGTGGGTCGGGAGTCAATATGCAGGGGTGGGACTGTGGGTCAAATTGCCAAGGCTATTTTTATGTGTCAAATAATGTTCATTGTATTATTTTATTTACACCTTTTATGCTTTTCAAATTGATTAACTCACCTCTGTCTGTCATTATGACATGTAATAGCTGCGCAGTACAGGAGCTCTCCAAAACTCTCTCCCCGTTATCTTTTTTTATGTCTTCCTGGTGTATAATTTTATAAAATTATAAAGTCCATTGAAGAACTGTGGCAGACTCAAAAAGATAAAAGAAATAGTTATAAATGTCTTTACTGTCACTTTTGATCAATTGAATGCATCCTTACTGAATAAAACTATTCATTTCTTCTTTTTTTAAACAAACTTTTAAGGCTATATTAGAGGTTTTGCCCTATGACATTTTCACAACGATTTACAACAGTAGAAATTAGTCAGATGTCAGAACATGATTGTTTTTCATCCGTTTTAATATTCACATGCATTTATGAAGCAGCATGTACAAAATGAAAGCCAGTGATGTGACCTAGTGACAGTTTGTGGTGGAGATGGTTCATGTAGTGCATATGTATTTGTGTGCTGTTAGGTGTGCGGTTCATGTGGGACTGCTGTTGTGAGTCTGTTCAGAGTGTGAAGTCGTCTCCAGGCTCCGGCTGTATTCTGGCTCATTGCATGGGCCTGGGCAAGACCTTTCAGGTATGAGGCACATGAATATTCTCCTTTTCTTTGAAAAATCAGAAAGTGGAAGTTTCACAGACAGTAACTGTGTGTGTGTGTGTGTGTGTGTGTGTGTGTGTGTGTGTGTGTGTGTGTGTGTGTTTCAGGTCATCGTGTTCCTTCACACAGTGCTGTTATGTAAAGAGTTGCCACTGAAGACGGCTCTGGTGGTGTGTCCTCTCAACACCGTGCTGAACTGGAAGAGTGAGTTTGACCAGTGGCAGAGGGGCTTAAGACCACACAGACTGAGGGTCGGTAGAATTATTTCACTTCTTGTGTTGATCAATAAAAAAACTGTTTTCTATTTTAATGTATTTTAAAATGTAATTTATTCCTGTGATGGCAAAGCTGAATTTTCAGCATCATTACTCCAGTCTTCATTGTCACATGATCCTTCAGAAAGAATTCGAATATGTTGAATTGGTTCTCAAGAAACATTTCTTATCAATGTTAAAAACGCTTGTGCTGCTTAATATTTTTGTGGAAACTGCGTTATGTTTTTTTTTCATAATTTGATGAATACAGAGTTCAAAAGAACAGCATTTAATTGAAATGGAAATCTTTTGTAATATTATAAATGTTATTACTGTCACTTTTGATCTTTACTGAATAAAATAAGTTTCTTTAAAAAACAGAATTTTGACCCCAAACTTGAATGGAAATTAGAAAATTTGCAGACCTGAATCTCTCCTTATATGCGTTGCATTTATTCATCTTCGTGTTTTTTAATAAAAACATTCTGTGTTTTGTAATGTAAAGCTATCATATGGCTTCAGAAGACTTGGAATAAAGCGCTCAAGCTATGTTTAGGCTTTTTACGCTACACATAATGTAACCCTTTTTTAACCCGAGGTTAAGGCCACTTTCAATCTGTACTTAAACATTGACAGTGCAAAAGGGATAAGGCTAACCCAGGGTTACATTAATCCAGGGATAAAATGAAAATTGTCATCATTTACTCACCCTCAAGTTGTTCCAAACCATTTTGAGTTTCTTAAAATATTTAAAACACAAAATATTTTGAAGAATGTTGGTAAGACAGTTGACTGTAGCCATTGACTTCCATAGTAGGAAAAAAATACTATGGACGTCAATGAGGTCCATCAATTGTTTGGTTCCCGACATTCTTCAAAATATCTTCTCTTCAAAATATCTTATTTTATGCTCAACAGAAGAAAGAAACTCATACAAGTTTGGAACAACTTGAGGGTGAACTATTTTTGGATTAACTATCCCTTTAAGATCACCAACCACTTTTGTGGATGGATTTTTTTTTTTTTTTTAAATCTTGTTTTCTTGCCACTTTGTTGAATGTGGACTTTTAACTGCATCACTGATATTTTTTTCTGATCATCTCTGCTTTTTTTCTTGCGTCTGCCTCACACAGGTGGCAGAGCTGGCTACGGTGAAGTCTTTGGCTGTTCGCGTTGAGCTGTTGAATGACTGGTTTAACAATGGTGGCGTGATAATCATGGGTTATGAGGTTTTTCGTGTTCTGACGAACACAGATAGCGCAAAATACAGCAAACACAAAGAAAGCTTCCGGTCAATTCTCCTGGATCCAGGTAAATTCTTCTGAATAATCCATCTTCAAATACTGAGTACAGTTAAAATGTTTTTTTGTCTTAATTATTTTAAAACCTCTGTTGTGTGTGTTAGGCCCTGATCTGGTGGTGTGTGACGAGGGTCATGTCCTTAGGAACGCAGACTCCAGCATCTCAAAAGCCATGCGAGCTATATGTACGCGTAGGAGAATCATTTTGACGGGAACACCGCTTCAAAACAACCTCACTGAGTGTAATCGCTTTTCATCTCCATTTCTATAAAAAGCTGCTTGTGAAAAATTACTTTCTAATAAAAATTTTTTATATTAAACTCTTTAAATCTTTTTGAGGTCGTCTGACCTTAAAGACAAAGTGTGTAATTTTTTTGTTTATTGTTCTAGATCACTGCATGGTCAACTTCATTAAGGAGAACCTGTTGGGTTCTCTAAAGGAGTTCCGAAACCGTTTTATTAATCCAATCCAAAACGGCCAGTGCGCAGACTCCACCCCGGCTGATGTCAGACTGATGAAGAATAGATCGCACGTCCTCCATCAAATGATGTCAGGATTCATACAGGTGATGAAGAGAGAGAGAAAGAGAAAAAAAAGAATAGAGCTAGAGGCTGTAAAAAAAAAAGGCTAAATGTTTTGTATTTGTGTTTGTGTTGCAGAGGCGGGACTACTCAGTTTTGATGTCCTGTTTGCCGCCCAAGCGCGAGTATGTGCTGTCAGTCAGGATGACACCTCTGCAGTGTCGGTTATACACACACTATCTGCAAACCTACAAAGGTAAGAGTCTCACAAGCGCACACTAGAGCTAGACTAGTACTGCGACAGTGGAAAAGTGTCAACCTGTAGAGATTAAGCTAATATTTTGTTTTCATGGTATGGCTCATATTGAAATTTTAAGCTATTTTTTTTCTAAATAAATTCAAAATATATCAAAAAAGTATTTTAAATGCTTAATTTAAGCATCATGACATTATAATGTACAAAAAATATATATTTTGAGATTTAACACTGTTATTAAATTGTTGTATAGATGAATTTTAAGTCAGTTTTAGACCGTGTAAAAGATAATCTAAATGTAAAAATTTAAGAAAAGATTTAGCTTGCACAATTAAATATCGGCTGATAATTGCTAAATGGTGATGTGATGCAAAGGTTTTCGATTTTAATTTCAAACATTGCATTAATTTTGTCATACCATCTAATTCTAACACGCACTGCCCTCACAAATTGATAGTATGCAAATGATCATAACCAGTGTCTTTATTTTAGGGCAAGGAGCAGGTGTGAACAGTTTGTTTCAGGATCTTCATGTTCTGAGTTTGATTTGGACTCATCCCTGGTGTCTTAAACTTGCTCAGCTGAGCAGGAATAAGGTAAACACCCACTCATATAGATACACTACTGTTCAAAAGTTTGGGGCCAGTAAGATTTTTTTTTTAAATAAATTATTACTTTTATTCAGTAAGGTTGCATAAAATTGATCAAAAGACAGTAAAGACTTTTACATTGTTAAAAATTGTATTTCAAATAAATTCTGTTTTGAACTTTCAAATGTTAGGCAGCACAAGTGATTTCAACATTTATTATAATAAGAAAAGTTTCTTGAGCAGCAAATCAGCATATTAGAATGATTTCTGAAGGATCATGGGACACCGAAGACTGGAGTAACGAGGCTGAAAAGTAAATGACATTTCAAAATGTATTCAAATAGAAAACTTATTTGAAATATTTCAGAATTTTACTGTTTTTACTGTCGTTTTGATCAAATACATGTAGCCTTGGTGAGAATAAGAGGCTTTCAAAAAATGTTTTTTAAATCATATCGACCTTTTGAATGGTAGTGTATATGCATCATGACTCACTTACAAACATCCTATCAGTGGTCACTGATTTTTCTCCATCACCTTATATATTTCTGTGTGTGATGCAGGGGAAAGAGCAAGAGCCTGCTCCTGTCTTCACTGGGCTGGATGCAGGTTTGGAGAGAGATTCTGTAAAGCCAAATGGCTCTGAAAGGTATGCTGTGTCATATCAGATTTCAGTCTTTTCTATACCAATAATGTTTCTCATGCTTTTGTAAAATATCACACATTAATGCTAGAGTGACTTTGAATAGAAGAGTAATTTGAGAACATTTTGTTTTGGAAACAATTGGTAAATGAAAGACTGCTACTTGAATGACACAATCACAACCAACCAGAACATATTTGATTTGTAATACACAGTTATGTAGAACCACTGAGAGACCTGCTAGAAGTCAAATTTTGCACAAGACCAGGTTTGTTCTGATGTTTCCACCATCTGTCTCATAGGATAGATGCAAAGATCACAGGTTTAGTGGGTGATGGAGAGGGAAATACTGATCCAGTCTCCTCAGTCTGTGGGTCCAAACAAAAGCCAGATGTCACAAACACACCCAGAATGGAAGTTCCTGGTGGGGAAGCTGGTACATCTACACAGTCTCCCTCTCTTTGTTTCTTTGAATCTGTCTCTCTTTGTCTGTATGTCTGTCTCACTTTTAGTGTCTCTGTCTATTGTTCAGGATTTGTTGTGGGTAACGGGTCATCTGCAGACTGGTATCTGCCGTTTATAACAGCAGCTGATGCCAAGGTGCTGGAGCATTCTGGGAAATTACAGTTGCTACTGGAGATTTTACACTGGGCAGAGGAACTACAAGACAAAGTGTGAGGAACACGTACTTGAATAGAAGTAACACTTGTTATAAGCTGTTTTGGTTCATATTCATATTTGGTTCATTGAAAGAAATCAAGCAAGAATGCTTAAAATTGTGACAGTAAAAGTGACAGTAAAGACTGTTATAAAAGCTTTCTATTTCAAATAAATGTTGTTCTTTTGAAATCTATTCATTCAAGAATCCTGAAAAACATATCACAATTTCCATTAAAAAACTAAGCAGAACAACCGATTTCAACATTGATGATAATTAGAAATAATAAATGTTTCTTGAGCACCAAATCAGCTTATTAGAATGATTTCTGTAGGATCATGTGACACTGAAGACTGGAGTAATTCAGCTTTGCCATTACAGGAATAAATTACATTTTTAAATATGTAATATTAAAAAGTTAAATCGTAATATTTCACAATATTACTGTTTTTACTGTATTTTTAAACGAAAATGTGCATTAAACGGTTGCATGTTAACTGTTAAGAGTGACTAAGTTTGACACATGAATGGATGCTGTTTGCTTTTGTTCAGGTTGGTGTTCAGTCAATCTCTGATATCACTGGACCTTATTGAGAGTTTCCTCCTATATGCAGATGAGACCAGCGGGAAGGAAGGGTGTCCATACAAAGGTAAAAACAGTTTATACAGGGGATTGTTAGAGCTGTCATTTGTTCATTGTATACAATAGTGTTTTTGTGTGTGTGTGTGTGTATTGGCAGGAAAGAAATCATGGGTAAGAAATAAAGATTATTATCGTTTGGACGGCAACACTAGTGCTTGTGCTCGCAAGAGATGGGCTCAAGAGTTTAACAACACTAAAAACATAAGGTACTGCACACAAAATGCTTATAAACATTATATTGAAGTTGTCTGGATTTCTTGTCCTGACTCTTGGTGTTTCCTCTGTGCCAGAGGGAGGTTGTTTCTGATCTCCACTCGTGCGGGGTCTCTAGGAATCAATCTGGTTGCTGCAAACCGGGTCGTGGTGTTTGACGCTTGCTGGAATCCATCATATGACATCCAGAGCATCTTCAGAGTCTATCGCTTTGGGCAGAAAAAAACTGTAGCTGTGTACCGTTTTCTGGCTCAGGTATGCACATAGAATCACACATACTTGGGAGGACTTCTCATATTTAAAAAAAAAAAAAAAAATTATTAGAATGAATGAAAAAAATTAAGTAATTTTTAACCCATTCATGAAGATTTTATTACTTGTGAGGACTGTCTTAGTTTTAATAATTTTTTATTTTAAGAGTAAAATATTTTAATATATAATATAGTTTAAATATATATTATATTTGTATTTTTTTGTATTTATTTTAGAATTTATACAGTACCTGTTAAAAGTTTGGAAAACATTACAATGTTTTAATGTTTTTGAAATAAATATCTTATGCTTACCAAGGCTGCATTTATTTAATCAAAAATACAGTAAAAATAGTAATATTCTGAAAAAATACAATTTAAAATAATTGTATTCTATTTTAATAAATTATTTTTTAAAAAGTATCACAGTTTCCACAAAAATGTTGAGCAAAGCAGCACAGCTATTTTCAACATAACAATAAGACAATCAGACCCTGAAGACTGGAGTAATGATGCTGAAAATTTAGCTTTGCCATCACAGGAATATTACATTTTAAAACATATTCAAATAGAATTTATTTTAAATTGTAATAAAATTTTGCAATATTACTGTTTTTACTGTATTTTTATTCAAATAAATGCAGCCTTGGTGAGCATAAGAGACTTCTTTCAAAAACATTAAATTTGTTATTATTATTATTATTAAATGTTTCCAAACTTTTGACAGGTACTGTATATTTTATCATTTTTATATATATATATATATATATATATATATATTTTATTTTTATGTGTTTGTTCTTTTTGTGTGTGTGTAGGGGACGATGGAACAGAACATTTATGAGCGGCAGGTTGCTAAGCAGTCTCTGTCCTCCCGTGTTCTGGACCAGCAGCAGATTCAGAGACACTTCACACACAGTCAGCTGAACGAGCTGTACCACTTCCAGCCAGACCTACGGCCCAGTAAACACACAGAAACGCCTGCGGTAAACACGCATACATGGACCTGCTGTTGTACAACACACACAGATGTTGGGTATGTGAGATAATTATGACCACAAGGCTTTGTCTTCCTTTTGATCAGGATGAGGTGTTGGTCCGGCTGCTGCAGAGCTGTGAGCAGCTCATAGTAAGTTATCATGAGCACAACTCATTGTTAGACCACCGGGAGGAAGAGGAGCTGAGTGAGGAAGAGCGCAGAGCAGCCTGGGATGAATACCGTGCAGAAAAGAAGGTACATATTGCAAGTCAGTGTTTTTAAACTGGTACAGAGTGCCCCCAGGTGGTACACATCACAACCCTGGTAATTTATACTTCTAGAACAGGGATGTCCAATCCTGCTCCTGGTGGGCCACTGTCCTGCAGAGCTTAGCTCCGACCCCAATTAAACACACCTGAACCAGCTATTCAAGGTCTTACTATGCATACTAGAAACTTCTAGGCAGAAATTTCATTTCTGTGAAAAAAAGAGAGTGACCAAAAACTGAGACATTAAAAGCAATTATTGTATTTTCTGTGAGCTTTATCTTCTTAAGGCGGTTTTAAAGATTGGGGTTGCCCAAACCTGGTTTACACGACCCTGACCTTTTATGTGAAAATAAAAATTGTCTGTATGTTGATGCATATTCACACACTAGCCTTCATTCTGCATGTGTCACATTTGTACAACAGCTCATTCATGATTTGTCTCTTTCAGGCCGCTGTACAGATCTCCAATGAAGCCGCCTCCAGACAAGCCAATCGGGACCTACTGGTACAGTTTAATCTCTAACCTTTAAGGATTCTGTATTTGTGTGTGTATTAAACAGAAATTCTGCAGCTGACAGCTGTAGACTGCAGTGCTAAAAATCTCTCTCTTTCTCTCAGCAGGCTGTGGCTTTACGAAATGTTGGCTATACAAGCAAGAGCGTTCCTCCAACTTCACTTCCTGTCAAACAAGGCAATGCCCAACATTCTGCTGCTTTGGATGTTTATAACAACCCCAGCATCACCTTTCAGCTGAACCAACCCAAAGTGGTTTACTCTGTTTCAAAAGCAAATACATAGCCTGATATAGACTTGATATAAAAAAGGTCCAAGACCTTTTGCTACCTCAAAACTCAAGTATGAGTATGCTGAAATGTATCCGGCACATGTATGTCCTTTTGAGCACAATGGGGTTCAGAAGCCTGTATACAAAAAGACAGTTGTTAGTGTCTTTGCTAACACTTTTTATGTTTAAATATTAAAAATATAAAATAATTTAGTTTTCAAAAGGTCTTAAAAGTCACCTCAATCTGTGTTATGACATGTGAGCATTGTTCTTTGTTCAACTGCTTTGTACATGTAATAAGATAAAAGAAATAAAGGTACACTTGCTTGATAGAAAAAAAGAAAAAAAAACTTGCTTGCTGTGTCCTGTGCAGGCGCTGTTTCTCTTATTACTGTGCTTCATACTATGTATGGACTGGTTACTCCAGACTGGAGACTCCAGTCACAGATGCTTCAGAGACTCGCGTCTCGCACCGGTCACCCTGATGCTTCTGCCCGCGTGTCTGCGCCGCTGCGCGCGGCTGCTATACTGGATCCCTGTTACGATCATTATCGTGGTTGTGATGTGGTCATACTACGCCTATGTCGTGCACTTCTGTTGGAGTGAGTAATATTTTTGCAAAATCATTAAAGTTGTTTTAATGACGCAGATTTCGTGGGATTAAAAGGCCATACGTGATATTAAAATGTAGGAGAGACCGAAGTTGATGTAGCCTAACATTTGTTTCAGTGTCTATGTAACTCTGTGTTTTTTTATTCTCTAAACTTTTATATGATGCTCCTATGTTTGACTGCTACAGATTAAAGTAGTTCTGAAATCAACAAGTATCACTTATCTGTGTTAATTAATGTCAGTTACAATTACTCCATTGTTTAAATCATGGACGTCAGTTCATATACAGTTTTGTACAGAATTTGATTAAATGTAAATTTTTTCAAAGTGTATTACGCCAACGACCATCACCACCCCAACCCATCATTTATTTTAGTGCAAAATGCTAAACGAAGAGAAAACATTTGAATTCAAAATGGCTATCAATCAATCAATCCAAAAAACAATAGATTTGTGTGTATTAATCAGTCAGAAGACTGACAAATGAAGCCTGTGCATCATTGTACTTTTTTGTCCAGTCTTTGTGGGTCCAGTAAAAGTGCATTGGTGGTCAATTGTAGTGATTTCAGCCTTGTAGCTCTTGTCATATTGGTGATGATGGTGACTGTTGCACTCCCAGGTCTCCCTCTTACTTTGGAAAGTCATTGAGCACCAGTTATAAATATAAATATTTAAAACTGTTCAGTAATGTAGATATGACATCAGATGTTATAACTTATGAATGATTCTTGTTCATATTTGTGTGCCAGTCCTGCTTACCTGTGCTACTCAGAGAGGTATGAAATCTTTGTGGTGTTATAAATATTTATTGTGTGAAAATATGCAGTTGTAAAGTTTGAATGGACAAATTTGGCATTTGCTTCCTACTATTTTGATTGATAATTGGAAATGTCCTTATTCTCTCAGTGGGATTCCTTTGCCTGTTCCACGTGTGTTTTGGGATGTTCTCGTGGTCATTTTGGAAAGCAGTGTCTACTCCACCATCCTCTCCTTCTGTGGAGGTACAGTAGCATTATAAATTGATAGTTCTTAACCAAAAAACAAGTTCCTCCCCTGGACGTTCTGGAGAATGGACGTATGGCTTTTTGGAAATGGTACAATCTTAACAGCGTGGTTTTTTGTACACAGAAAAAACTTTTGACGTACTGTCACTTGGAGTACCATGTAAATACTATAGTATATAAATAAAGTACAATAGTATGACTATCTTATGCCATTGCTGCAGGACCTTAACCACCATAGACATTGAGGGGGACAAGTCCCCCCAATAAACAGATATGGTCAAATTGTTATTAGGATAACAACAAGTTTTAAAAGTTAACATTTTTAGGCTGGTCTGCCTTAGTGGTCTGACAGCACTTGTCAATGTCAAAATGATTGAGATGGCCAATCGAATCAAAGAAGGCAGGCTTGACTGACCACAGAAGCAGAACATGGATTACAGTATGATTTTTCATTTGATAGAGTGTGATGTAAGTAGCTAAATATTTAATGTTTGACTTCTTTTTTTACTATATAAATATTGAATGGCCAACAGTAATATTCAGTGATGAAAACTACTTGACTTTTATGCCAAATTTTACTGTTTTGAATAAAAAAATACAGGGTTTCACAATTAAATGTAAATGTAACATTAACAGAGCCGTTTTGGCACATTAGGCATAAGACTAAAAGGGAACGTGTATAATAAATAAATATATATTTTTCACTTATAAAGTTTAAGGCAAAACTCAAAGCCTATCTTTTTTCTTTGGCTTTTAATTGTAGTTGATTTGTGCTGTCTGTTCTGTAATTTATGTTGTACATGGTGTTAAATGTTGATGGTATTTTTATTTGATTTAGTGTACTGCACCTTGGTCAACAATTTTTGTTTTTAGTGGTGCTGTATGTTGTGAGTATTATTTGAAAATAATTCAAACAGAAAATAAATTTGAGTTCTTTTGCTGTTTTTGTTTTCTTTATTCCTTTAAATCCCCCAAAATTCTTCAATTATTTAGGGGCCCAACCCCCCCAAAAATTGGTTCTTCAATTTTGTTCAAGATATGGTTACAGGCTTGCATCAATGTACTATAGTACACCCACAGACAGTACTTTTTTTGCAAGGGGACTTGGGCTCTTACGGGGGTCAGCCCATCCACTTGCAAGTTATTCAAGTCAGGCATGTCATTTGTGACAATGAGCGTAAAAGAAACCCCTCTCCCTCTCAGGGCACCGCTATCTAATTTACTAAGTGTGTGTGTTTGTGTGTGCGTGGGTGTCTGTGTTCAGTTTCAGCTCTCCTCTTCAGACTCGCTGCTCTTCGAGCAGGAACGTGGCGGTATGGAGAAGAGTCAGATTCTTCTGGAAATCTCCCAGAAGCTTCCAGTTCACACACGTAAAGCAACCGGAGGTCAGGAAACCTGTCAGTGCTATAATGGAGAAACATGACAATGTACCGTAAAGTAAATAAAATCTCCAAACTAAACTGGACCCCAGCTCCAAATGTAACTCGATTCACACTGAACCTGTAAACATGAACCTGCTCCATCAGCATCATGTAATTGAGGGAAGACACTGAACTCTAGATTACTCCAGAGACACTGAATCTGCAATTAGTGCATTTTCAATGTCTTTCAGTCAAAAGCATCTGCATCATGTTAGAAGGTTCACTGCATCAGTGTTTCCTGCACTGCTTTGTAACAGAGGGGAATCTGTGATGCCTGTACTGAATATTCAGCACTGTGGCAAAAGAAATTATATTTCCAGGTCTGTGTCTTGAGTTTGCAGTCTGATTCACTGTTATGTGTCCGTTCTTTTTAGTGAATCAAAAAAAAAATGCAGCTGTATCAGTGTAGCTCAGATCCTGAAACAAATGGCTCGTATGAGCTTATTGTTTTATTGAATGTTTCAAAAAGACAAGTTGTCATTTTAATCAATATCAAACGCTGCCTTCATTTTAAAGCAGAGAGAGAATTTCTACCATATAGACGCAAAATGGAGATTAAAACTGAAATAGTTGAGAAATTTGGAATCAGATTGAATTGGAAAGTCTGTATCAATACCCAGTCCCACAACAGACTGACAAACAAAATGATGTTACTTGCTGAAAATCTGAACAATAATGATGCCGACTAACTGAACACAGTCATACTGAGTCATGCTGGTTTGGTGCAATGTAAGGATAAGAAAAAGATGAAATATTATTTTTAAATTCATTTAACTTTAATACAAAGTAGACAACTTGACAAGTGATCAATAACACCAATGTGTCAACAACAAACAAAACCAATAATATATATTTTTTAAGAATAATAAAATAAATTCCAGCTCACTTACCAATCAATATGGTAACACTTTAGTTTAGGGTCCAATTCTCGCTATTAACTAGTTGCTTATTAGCATGCATATTACCAGAATATTGGCTGTTTATTAGTACTTATAAAGCACATATTAATGCCTTATTCTTCATGACCATATTATACTTCCCTTAATTCACCCAATACATAACTTAAAAACTACCTTAATAACTATTAATAAGCAGTAATTAGGAGTTTGAGGCAAAAGTCGTATATGGTTAGGTAATAGTGAGAATTGGAACCTAAAATGAAGTGTGACCAAATATATACATATGCTTTTGATTGAAGTCCGAATCCTCCAAGATTTTTTGTTAACTAATCTAAAATTATCTTATATTATAAGATATACAACATAATGAAAACACAACTTTCCTAAACGTTGGAGAAAATGTTATTTATTTATTTGGTTGTTTGTGTGTGTTCATCTCAGCTATCAGGTTCTGTCATCACTGCCAATTGATAAAACCAGATCGCTGCCATCACTGTTCTGTCTGCCAAATGTAAGAATTGTTCTCTCTCTCTCTCTCTCTCCATTTCTTTGTGCGTATCAGTGCATCTCCCACTCATCTACGCACTCTTCCCTTAATGAAAGGGAGAGACGTTGAAATGTGATCTGTGTGTGAGTGTGTGTGTGATAATTACAGGATGTTGTTGTAGCGCTTGGTTTATTTGAGTGGACACAGTGAATCTTCTCAAATGAGTTTCGCTCCGTGTCAATATCAGGTTCCCTGCCTTTGATTAAAGTCCAGGTCTGAGTGTGTGTGAGAGCGAGCGAGTGCAATGGAGAAAAAGAATGACTATGTGTGTTTGTGGAGATTTTGTGTGTGTGTTTGTGGAGATTTTGTGTGTGTGTGTCTGATTACACTAGGGTTTTTATTATTATTTAATGAGAATAGTTCCTGTGGCTTGTGCACTTCACTCCTGCGGTCTCTCTCTCTCTCTCTTTGTAGGTGTGTACTGAAGATGGATCATCATTGCCCCTGGTTTGTAAACTAAATTAAAATTTACCTTATTTACTTTCTAAATTCATGTTTCTGTTTATTGTGAATGACTTATTGGTGTATTTTATTCTAAAGAATAAATTATCTTTGTAATCTATAGCAGCTTAGTAATGGTTAATCAAAGGTTAGTTACTTACTCTTACTGTAAACATCTTTTATTTTCAGCTGTTGATGCTTAGTCTGTGCAGGCTATTGGATATTGAAGCCAAATAGCTACTTAGATATTTAATTAGCTTGCATTCAGGAAGTAAAATGATTATTTACGTACACTGTCAAGACTTAACATGTTACATCTTGTTTAAATGAGTAATGTTGCCATTTTTAAAAAGTGACACTTATTCTCCTCTTCCGTGTGTATGTTGTGTGTTGTTGTGAGCATGTTCAGGCTGAATAACTGTATTGGGTTCTCCAACTATAAGTTCTTCATGCTCTTCCTCCTCTACTCACTCCTGTACTGCCTCCTCATCGTTGCAACGGTTACACCGACCTTCATCCAACTGTGGCTGGTGGGTGACCTTTGTGTCTTTTTTTTTTTTTTTTTGCAAAATCTACATGCACTTTGAGTGGTAGTGAGTCTCAGCCTCATACGGCACGTCCACAGATCACCCACAGCCGTAGGGTGATCTGTGGATCATATTTTAAATATACTCTTTCTACACACATTTTTACACACATTTTACACACATTCTACAACCCAACTTCCAGAAAAGTTGGAACATTTGGTAAAGTGCAATAAAATCAAGAACCTCTGATTTGTTAATTCTCTTTAACCTTTGTTTAACTGACAAACGTACAAAGAAAAGATTTCCAATGGTTTCACTGACCAACTGAATTGTATTCAGTAAAGATAAACAAATTTTGATGGCTGCAACACACTCCAAAAAAGTTGAGACGGGGCAAAATAAAAGATTATAGAATATCCGAGTTTAACTTTTGAAACAGCCCACAATAAGCAGGTGAATTGGCAATAGCTGAGGGTATCTTGATTAGGTATAAAGGAGCATCTCAGTCTTTGCTAGCAAAGTTGTGTAATGGCTTACCACTCTGTGCCAAGTTTCATGAGAGAATTGTCAAACAATTAAAAAAATCACATTTCTCAATGCAAGATTGCAAACAATTTATGTCTTTCACCATCAACCATACATAATACTGTGAAAGGATTCAGGGAATCCAGAGAAATCTGAGGCTGTGTAAGGCAAGGAAAACCTCTGTTGGTTGTGTGTCACCTTCAAGCCCTCAGATGGCACTGCATGAGAAACTCTGTTATATACAGCCACATGGGCTCAGGAGCACTTTGGAAAACTGTTTTAACACGGTCTTCTGCTGCATCAAGAAATGCCACTTGAATCTGTTACACAAGGAGAAATACATCAGTTCAATGCAGAGATGCTGGTGAGTTCTCTGGGCACGAGCTCATCTCAGATGGTCTAAAAGACAGTGGAAATATGTGCTGTGGTTTCAGCTTGTTTTTGGGAGAAACGGACATTGGGTTCTCAGTCCCAAGGACAAAAGGGACCATCCAGACTTTCATCAGCGACAGGTGCAAAATCAAACATCTGTCCTAGTATGTGCATCAGTGCAAACGGCAGGGGTGACTTGCATGTGTGTGAAGGTATCACTGACGTGGAGGCGTATATTGGGATTGTACAGACATACACTGCCATTAAGATGACATCTTTCCTGGAAAGCAAGACAATACCAGGCCTTATTCAGGACGTGCTTCATCAGAGTGGTTTCTAAACACCATAGAGTGGATGTGCGTGACAGTCCAGATCTGTCTCTTGTTGAAAATGTATGGCGGCCCATCATGAAAAGGAGAATCAGACAACGACGACCATGGACTGTTGTGCAGCTGTCTCGTATCAGGCGAGATTGGGCAAAAATTCCACTTGCAGAAGTTAGTATTCTCAGTTCCCGAACAATTAAAAAGTGTAATTAAAAGTAAAGGTGATGTGACACAGTGGTAGTCCAACTTATTTGGAGTGTGTTTTAGCCATCAGAATCCAAATTTGTAAATATAATTTAAGTGATTGCGAGTAAATTTGATATACGTTTTATCATTTGCAGTATACTGCATTCTTATTTATATAATATTTTGGTAACACTTACAAGTTTTCATGTGTTAACATTAGATTACTACACTACTATGAACGAACAATGAATTTTTTTAACTTAGTTGATGTTAATTTCAACATTTACTAACACATTTTACAATCAAAAGTTGTAAGTCAACATTAGTTAATTTGCTGTAAAAAAACAATTAACATTTTTTATTATTAAGAAATGCTGTGAAAAGTATATTACTCATTGTTAGTTTGTTAGCTTCTGGATTTACTCTCTCTCTCTCTCTCTCTCTCTCTCTCTCTCTCTCTCTCTCTCTCTCTCTCTCTCTCTCTCTCTCTCTCTCTCTCTCTCTCTCTCTCTCTCTCTCTCTCTCTCTCTCTCTCTCTCTCTCAGGGCAAACTGTTTGATAGCTGTGTTAAACTGCATGTCTTGTTCTTGACACTGGTGTCGGCCATGTTTGCTGTTACCCTCTGTTTTTTGCTCTTCTTCCACATCTGGCTGCTCGCCAGCAACAAAACTACTCTTGGTAAAACCTACATTTCACATATGCACATTATTTGTATGAGGTTTTGTAGGCGTCTTAAGATCTCTTGCTCTCTTTCTCTCAGAGTGGTTGTCAGTCCCCTTTTTTGCGGATGGACCAGGAAGTGAAGCATTTGATGTGGGTGTCAGGGCAAACTTCTTACAGGTGTTTGGAAAGAAAAAGAGACACTGGCCATTTCCAGTGTTTAGCAGGTCAGTATTAAGCAGTAATCACCATTGATGGCACCCATTAACAGCCTTCCGATTATAAACACTTATTTTTTGCTGAATAATTAAAAAGTGACAGTGAAGCATCTACAATGCAACAAAAGATTTCTATTTCAAATAAATGCAGTTGGGGAGTTTTCTATTAATACAATATTCCTGAAAAAATGCATCAAGGTTTCTACAATATATCAAGCAGAACAATTGTTTTGATAATAAAAATGACTCTTTAGCACCAAATCAGCAAGGTTTGCTATCACAGAAAAAAACGATGTGTGTATAAATACAGTACTGTGCTTTAGCACGTTAGTATTTTCACCAAATCAATTATTTTAAGCCAGTTATTTATATCTTTTGCTTTAGTGTGTCAGTAGGAAATATTAGTTTACATTTCCAAACATTCCTTTTGCCATTAATTGTAATAATCTAGTGAGATGTTCAAGGAGTCTGACAACAGCTGGTATGATCTGATCTCACCATCATCGAGTCCATCTGTGATTACATGAAGAAATAGAAAAGACTGAGACGGACTAAATCTAGAAGAACTGTGGCAACATCTCCAAGACGCTTGAAGAAACCTTCCTGCAAAGTGACCTGAAAAACTATGCGCAAGTGTACCTGGGACAAAAGCTGTTTTAAACGCAAAGGGTGGTCACACCAAATATTGATTTGATTTAGTTAATAAAAGTTAATTAATAAATAAAATCTATTTATGACATTGTTTTTGAAAGCATCCTCATTTTTGAGTGCCTAAAACTTCTCACAGTACTGTGGCTTTGCAGGTCGGTTTCTTCAATCGACTTGGAGGCATTGCTGCAGTTCGTCTAGATTGAGTCTGTCTCAGTTTTTGCTACATGTAATCACAGACAGACTTAATGATGATGAGAACAAATCTCCGTGTGGAGCATACCGGATTATGTAAACTGATATTTCCTACTGACACACTACAGCAAAAGAGTGGCTTAAAACCATTTTTTTTCTGGTAAAAATACTAATGTGCCCAAGAATTTTGCACAGTGCTGTATGTATGTACACTCACCTAAAGGATTATTAGGAACACCATACTAATACTGTGTTTGACCCCCTTTCGCCTTCAGAACTGCCTTAATTATATGTGCCATTGATTCAACAAGGTGCTGAAAGCATTCTTTAGAAATGTTGGCCCATATTGACAGGATAGCCTCTTGCAGTTGATGGAGATTTGTGGGATGCACATCCAGGGCACAAAGCTCCCGTTCCACCACATCCCAAAGATGCTCTATTGGGTTGAGATCTGGTGACTGTGGGGGCCATTTTAGTACAGTGAACTCATTGTCATGTTCAAGAAACCAATTTGAAATGATTTGAGCTTTGTGACATGGTGCATTATCCTGCTGGAAGTAGCCATCAGAGGATGGGTACATGGTGGCCATAAAGGGATGGACATGGTCAGAAACAATGCTCAGGTAGGCCGTGGCATTTAAACGATGCCCAATTGGCACTAAGGGGCCCAAAGTGTGCCAAGAAAACATCCCCCACACCATTGCACCACCACCACCAGCAGCCTGCACAGTGGTAACAAGGCATGATGGATCCATGTTCTCATTCTGTTTATGCCAAATTCTGACTCTACCATCTGAATGTCTCAACAGAAATCGAGACTCATCAGACCAGGCAACATTTTTCCCGTCTTCAACTGTCCAATTTTGCTGAGCTCTTGCTAATTGTAGCCTCTTTTTCCTATTTGTAGTGGAGATGAGTGGTACACGGTGGGGTCTTCTGCTGTTCCACTGTAGCCCATCCGCCTCAAGGTTGTGCGTGTTGTGGCTTCACAAATGCTTTGCTGCATACCTCGGTTGTAACGAGTGGTTATTTCAGTTAAAGTTGCTCTTCTATCAGCTTGAATCAGTCGGCCCATTCTCCTCTGACCTCTAGCATCAACAAGGCATTTTCGCCCACAGGACTGCCGCATACTGGATGTTTTTCCCTTTTCACACCATTCTTTGTAAACCCTAGACATGGTTGTGCGTGAAAATCCCAGTAACTGAGCAGATTGTGAAATACTCAGACCGGCCCGTCTGGCACCAACAACCATGCCACACTCAAAATTGCTTAAATCACCTTTCTTTCCCATTCTGACATTCCGTTTGGAGTTCAGGAGTTTGTCTTGACCAGGACCACACCCCTAAATGCATTGAAGCAACTGCCATGTGATTGGTTGATTAGATAATTGCATTAATGAGAAATTGAACAGGTGTTCCTAATAATCCTTTAGGTGAGTGTATATATATATATATATACAGTATATGTATTTACTATAATAGAAAGTAGCTATTTTAAATTGCAATAATATTTTTATATTTTTATTTTTGATCAAATATACAGCTAATAATATATACTTTTAATTAAAATTGTATATTAATGCTTCCTGTCATTTACATTGCTGCCTGTTGGCAATGACACTCAAGGCTGGTCTTTCAGTAGTTAAGGGAGTTTTAGGCATTCTGCTTCGTTTTGCTTAAGTACACTGCTTACTCATGATAAAATCACTGTAAGCACAGCCTTGAGAATGAAAAACATGTCCCAATAATAAAAAAATTCAGTTTTCAAATTAAATTCCCAGTATTGATGCATTTCAAAACTGCATTTCCTTGTTAAATACTGGCAATTCGCTGTTTAGTAAACGGACATTTGATCTAAGCCAAATTTAAGGGCCTGGTTTCACAGACAAGGCTTAGATTAAGCCAGGATTAGGCCTTAGTTCAATTAGGACATTTAAGTAGCTTTTATAAATGTGCCTTGGAAGAAAACATTACTGGTGTGTATTTTGAGACAAAAAATGGCATTGACATTTTAAGAAATGTCAGAGCAAGTTGCTTTCAGTTTAAATGGCTCAAACATGCATTTTAGTCTGGATTAGTTTAAGCCTCGTCTGTGAAACCAGCCAAAGATGTGTGATTTCTTTTGATTTAATGCCACAGCACAGATGCCATAGCTTATGTTTACCAACTGTTTCTTTTATATCTATCACAGTCAAGGGGATGGACATTCATTCCCCTTGAGATGGCAGATGTCGTCTCGCAGTCCTTCAGTGATAAATGGAAATGGGCATTGTGTCATGGAAGGAACTGTGGGTAAGAAATATATTATCTGAATCATATTTTAAAAATGTAACAAATTGATTCATCTATCCAAGTCCAGTTTCCCGGTTTAGAGAGAGTCATCTAATTATGTGTCAGCACTGTAGTCAGAATGGTTTGGTAAATCTTTTATTTAGAGGGAGACTGAATTTATCCCAGTTCTCACGCTGTCTCTGAAGGTGATCTCCTCTTTGCTTCTGTCATTAACTTAAGTGTGCTATCACAAAGAGTAGGATTACGAACACACATCCTCTAAAATTCCCCCAGTAAATCTAAATAGCACTCTGAATAGTCTTTTTTTTTTATTCTCAGAAGTAACTGGCAGTTTAGGAGAGAATCGTAAGGAATCTTCTATTGTAATACAAAGTTTATCTTTTTTTAATGTAGAATTTTGGGAAAAGGAGGTTCAGACTCCAAGTATATACTGCCCCCGGGAGGCCAATCCAGGGCTGCACAGCCTAATCGAAAATTCTGATTTGAGCCATTTGTATCATCCTGTTCTGCCATCAGTCTCACCTGAGGAGGTCTCCGTTACCATAGCAGTGGATGACTAGAAGTAATGAAATAAGGTATGATAAATGCTTGTTCTGCATTTTCAGCAGTGTTCAAATGAAATCCAAATAATAGAAATGTGTTTTTGTCTTTCTAGGTTAACGGAATGTGTTGTGTGACATTGTCACAGTGAGGTGATTTTAGAAAGATCTCAGTCACAGGTTAAGCTTACAAGAGTGGCGGCCGGCCCTCAGGGAGAACACCTGCCCGCATGCTCAGTTTTCACCTGGAACACTTCCTAAGGGAGCGATCAGGTCTCCGAAACCTCTTTTAGTGATCAGGGTGTGAGAGAGCTTTATCAGGTGTCCCTGCTCAGCGATAATCTTTTAAATTTAATATTTTTGTGCTGAAATGTAGTGGTTTTTTCTGTTGTAAGATTGGATTCTAGCTTTATGGTGACACTATTAAATGGTGTCTTATAGATGAATTGAATAACAGATTTTATGAAAATAAAGGCAATTCATTTAATACAAAATATTTTTATTTGTAATTATTTTATTTGCATCATTCTAGAGTGTTCAGGAACAGTCTAGAACACAGTTTGTTTTAATCCTGGTGGTATCATGGATAAGCACATGTTTTTGAAAGATCACTTGATCCATTTGCTCACATTAAACATGGATAAATACATAACCAATAAAAATACAGAGGCCAGCCCTGATCAACCAATCTCACACTCACACAGACACTTGCTGTGGGCTGGTCAGGCTTCAGATGAATCCAAGTGAACTTTTGTGGAATTGGTGGTTTGTCAGTCTGTGCCGAAATACCTCTGGCCGAAATGTGTCGGAGCGACAGCGTGAACTTCAGTTGTCAGTATAGTGATGTCAGGAAACTCCTGAACAATGGACCGTGCACCTGCACACATTACACACATTGTTATGGAGGTGCAGAAAAGGAAGAAATTAATGTTTTTCTGCAAGGGTGCATTAAATTGCATAAAATTAAATCAAAAGTGACATTAAAGACATTTATAATCTTACAAAAGATTTCTATTTCAAATGACTGCTGTTCTTTTGAACTTTGAATTAATCAAAAAGTCCTGAAAACAAATGTTTCCACAAGCAGCACAACCATTTCCAACATTGATAATAATAAGAAATGTTTCTTGAGCACCAAAATCAGCATATTAGAATGATTTCTGAAGGATCATGTGACACTAAAAATTGGAGTAATGGCTGCTGAAAAAATAACTTTGCTCTCACAAGGAAAATTTAGATTGTAAAATACATTAAAACAGTTATTTTAAATTGTATTGATATTTCAAAATATTGTGGTTTTACTGTAATTATGATCAAATAAATGCAGCCCTTGGTGAGCATGAGACTTATTTTAAAATCATCCTACTGCCCCAAAACTTTTGAATAGTAGAGTATATCATTTATAAGTCAAGTCACCTTCATTTATATAGCACTTTTTACGATACAGATAGTTTCAAAGCAGCTTTACAGTGATAATAGGAAATTAATGCAACAAAGATTGTTTTGGCTGTCCAGCAGCTCTAAATGAAAGTCATTGTCTAGCTACCTTAAGTAAGTTTTTAATTGATTAATTTCCATTGTAAAAAGCATTAGTCATTAACTTGGGGACCGCTTACACCATTTTCAACTGAAAACAGAAAACTTTTAATGCATTCTGGCTGTTCATTTACACAACAATAGCGTTTTAGTGTCCTGAGAACGCAAACTTTGAAAATAGGGTTTCAAAGTGCAAGTTTTAGAAAACGAGTTTTACTGTTCTCATCTCCGTGTAAACTTAAAAAACGTGAATCTGTGCATATGTGTGCGGGCGGGTAATCTTTCTTACAAAGTGACATTGCCAATTACTTGTCTGACATGCATAATACAGCGTTTTAAGTCGTTTCCGCGTATCGTGTGAACGGGAATCATTTTGATAACGTTTTCATCTGTATAGAGGAAAAATGTTTGTCGTGAAAAAAAAATAACTTGTCGATGAGCCCTTCGCAGGGGATAGTCTAGTTGACACGGTCTCTGCTGACACTTCAGGGCTGCGTTAAAAAGTTATTATGAATGACTGAGAATATTCCAAATATACAGCTAAGTTCAAATTGTTTCATAAATGTCCCTTGTTTGTTTGTTACCAAGAGTGCTATTAACATGTACTAAGATATATCAAATACAGACATTTATGATGTGATTGGATTGTAATTGAGAATACAAATCAAGTCTTCACTGTGTTCGTGTCTTACCGTGTGGAGTGGAGAATAGACTCAGTAGTATGATATGTTTGGCCAGCAGGCCGTGTTCATTCAGCACCCGCACCGCTTCTATCACAGTGTTGCCTGTACCTGAACACATACAATAATAAATTGTCTCTTTAAATGCCATATTTGACCATGTTTAAATCCAGATTTCCCCCCAAATCGGTGCAGAATGTGGGTCGGCTTAATGCCTTGTTATAGAGGTGAATTACTCACTGAGAATAGGGTACATGAGCAGAACTTTCCTTCTGCTGATGTCAGGAGGAAACTTTGCATAGTAAACTTTGGCCTTTTGTGTCTCCTCATCACTCTGGATCAGAATCTTCCCAATACGGATTGACCTGCAGCAATCTCTCAGGCCTTGCTCCATGGCCTCACCTGGTCACATTAACATATACGTTTAAGTATAAAAGGCATGCACACTAAATAGGGTTGTTGTTTTTTTCCATCATGGTTGTGTGCGTATGAATTTGTGAGAAAGAAAGAGACTCACCACTCCTCATGATGCTAACCCCACAGTTTCCCTTTTCAAATTTCACACCCTCATATTTATGCCCTGCATAAGGAGTATATAATCTTTTTTTTAATTTGGAAAAATTCAACAGCTGATGGCAGCAATGCCATGTCATATGCAAAAGGAGGAGGAGGAGGAGGAGGAGGAGGAGGGGAGGGGGGGGGGGGGGGGGTAATCACCGTGGTAACAGGCTCACCTGTTGGTGTGGTTACAGTGCATTCACTGTATGGAAGCTGATTGAGACCCTCTTCCACCACTAATCGTATCTGAGAGCAAAACAAACAACCAATCAGAATAGAGAGTGGCAAACCAAAAACAGAACATAAGAGTTGACCTACTAATTTGACAATACAAAAAAAAAAAATCAAGTTTTGATTCTTTAATAAATATAGTCAAATAAAAAAGCAATCAATGAATGTGAAACGTAATTAAACAACGATACATTCACTATGTGTTGATTGCAAAACGTGTGTGTGAGCTGCCTTTATTTACAAGGTCTTTATAAGAATAATGGCTGGTTATACACCGTTAGTAGGATATAAGACAAGGCTACAATTCTTTACCATTTTTTGGTGATGCTTACCAATCTATCGGCACAGAACACAAAATCACCTCTACTGGTAGTTCTGGGTGAGACAGAGGAAGAAAAGTCACTATGTGACAATCTATTGCAATATATAATACATGTTGATTGATGTGCAACCAAATGGCATGAGGCTATATCCCAGTTTATTCCATTTAGATACATTCTGATAAGTTACAAGTTTATGTTCCTGTGCACATGAAATTATATATAGGTGCATATGATACAGATCTGGCCTATGGGGACACGCAATGTGCACTCAATCCGTTTAAAATGCGGACTGGAGACTCACTTGTCCCGAATGATAGTCTGAAGTTCTCGTATTTGGTCATTTAATGGCAAGAGTTTCAGCTGAGGTCCTATTTGTCCCTGGATGTCGCTCATGGTTTGGTTTTCACACGGTTCCGTGTCATCTTGACAGGTCTCGGCAGCAGCGCTACTGCGGGCGAAGCGGACGTGCTTCGCGGCGTGTTCGGGGCTTTCACTGTTATTCAGCTGCTGATTATGGCACGGCATCTTTTCGATAACATCCGTTTCCATAGGACTAAAACCACAAGAAGGAAACACAACACGAAACCACCTGGTCCACTTAAATGATGGCTGTTCTTTTCCACTTATAAGGTTTTCAGTGATCTACTATCTGAGACGCATGATACATGACGCACGCGCCCGGGAACAACAACCTGACGTCATATCCCATGTTCACATGATTGGATAGAAATTATGCCAATCTAAAGCTCACAGACGTAAGGGGCGGGACACTGCGGCCCTCATTCAAGCAAGTGACCATTCACTTCACTTGTAGTGAATTAGGGTAATTACAAGGTAAAAGATAGCATCACACCAGCAGTGCAGAACATATGGTACATATTCCAGTAAATATTCATGTATGTCAAACATAAAAAAAACACAGATATAACTAGTGTTAGTGTTTGTGTAAAGGGAGCGTTGTTGCTCTACATAAGTTTTCTACATGAGAAATAAAGATAATTTTTATTTTCAATATTTAAAAAATGTTGGCTTTAAAATTCAAATAGTTATTTATTTGTTTGTTTAAATTAACTGCATTTGTAATACCAGTTTCAGAGATGAAGATTATTTGTTATTTTCAATATGATGGATTTTTCCAAATTTTGGCTTTCAAATTAATTCCCTCGCTGACATTTATTTATCTAAAGTAACTGGCTGCGTGTGTGTAATACTACCAGTATCGTAAAGGTTATTTTTATTTTCAACATGATGGATTTTTCCAAATTTTCTAAACTCGCTGATATTTACTTTTAAATTGTATTTATTTAAAGTAACTGCGCATGTAATACCAGCTTATAAATAAGCAGAAATAAACTAAATCTGGAGAGACCCCAAGCTGGTGCTTGGAGCATGTGAAGCATCAGTGCGCATGCGTGCGCCTCTGCACCTGTTCAGCAGTGCCGCGCGCTCCCGATTCCTCAGCGCGCCGCCGTGCAAAATATGGGGGCGCGCTCTTTATGGCAGGTCTCAAAAGAGGGGGAGCAGCAGCGCACGAGCGCGCCGTCGTTGTCAGGGACGGACGGGGTACAGCTGGGAAAAACACATACACACACCCCCGTCTCCGTCATACACGCACATACGGCAAAAAACAAAAGCGACTCTAAGGGAAGAGCGGAACGGGAGAGAGGGAGCATGCGGCGAGGAGCAGGGGCTGCTGCAGACCTTTGTTTGTTTCCTGGAAACCCTGGAGCGCGAGGGAATAAAATGGAGTGGTAGGGGCTCCGAGGCGCGAGAGGCGCGTCCACCTGCTGCTACCGGGAAGGCAGCCCGGGCTCGCGAGAGAGGGGAAACATGTTGAGACCACTGCATTGAAGTGGGTAACAAAAAACAAACAAAAAAACAACAACATATGACAACATTCCACCCGCCGAGCGATCAAACGGAGTCTTAAGAGCAGACGGGACGTGCGGCCCGAGTGTAACGGGAGGTGAGTATGTGGGCTGTGCGTGTTTATGTGCGTGATGCGGTGAGTGGGCCAGTGTGACGCGCGTCAAACGCTGCAATGGGGAGAAATGGTGGAGCGAGTGTCAGCTGTAATGATGCGTCCATATTGCACAGGTGTGTGAGTGAGTGAGAAGAGGAGGAGGAATGGCTCAGTGTCCTGCGAAAGCTAAGTCGCAGGCCATCGTTTGAGGGGACAGAAAACATTGGTGCTACGTGAGGCAAACAAACACTCTCTCTTTCGCTCTTACACACCATCCCCCCTAAGCCAAGGCCACAGCTACATACGCATTCGTTCACACAGAGCAATAACACGAACGATGTTATGTGGCGATATTCTGCATGTGCCGTTTTACGCATTTTCATTTCCCCCCGCGTTTTGCTGGTGGTCGGTGCTCGGTGCTCGGCGCCTGCGATGCGGCATTTGGCGATGGGGGATGCAGAACTGCAGAGCGCGTATCATAACGCACCAGGCCTTCAATAATTAAGGGTGGACTCAAACCTGTTACGTCTCTCTGAATAATGTAAATTATCTTCGTTATTCGAGATGTTGAAAGCGTGCTCATCTTTCAGGCTCTCGATATAGAGTATAGAGATTTAGAGTAGCCTATAGGACCTGTCTGTCACCGGATACCTGTCCTGGGAAGCTGTTATGGAAGTTTATTTGATGCTGTCAAGCTGCACCGCACACGTACGGCTATAACAGAACCGAAGGTCTCTTGCCAATCAATCAATCAGAATAGGTCTTGTTTTCCACACAGAAGCCAGACTTGCAGTCAGTGTTTAAACATTCTACCTTGAGTTAAGTAGTCAGTGTAGTAATGCTTTTATTGACATAAATGGATGGATGGTTGATATTCTGGTTGCTTGTCTGACAGATGACCAAGGAAGGACAGATTGCAGCAGATTTATCGATCTCTGAAAAAGACCTAACAAACTCACACCGATGTGGATTCTCTCTCTCTCTCTCTCTCTCTCTCTCTCTCTCTCTCTCTCTCTCTCTCTCTCTCTCTCTCTCTCTCTCTCTCTCTCTCTCTCTCTCTCTCTCTCTCTGTAATTCCATTGTCTGTCTCTTGGGTGGATGTTGAAGCTGAATAAATATTAATTTCGTTTTTAATAAAAGCAGTTTGCAGACAGTGCCACTGCCCTGTTCTCTGTCTCTGTCTGCAAAGCTGGCAAGAATGAGCCCAGGCAGCTATGCTGTTCTCAGAACAGCCCTGGGCTTTTTCTTATACTGGTTTGGAAGGAGCAAATCCTAGATCATAGCCATTTCCAGATCCGGAAAACAGTACATGCTGGAGAATATTTTAGTGTATAACTCTGTATGTTGTTGGAAATGGGTGTTATGGAATTTTTTCTTGCTTGGATTAATCTGCCAACAAGCGTGATAACACTGATGATATTCTAAAATTATCCAGAGAATCAATGTATTTATGTTGACAGTAACAGCTTATTAAAATAGTTGGGCCATAAACATCATGGATTTTGCATCATGATGTAAATGTTGACGTATTTATGAGCAGAAGCATGTTTTAATAACATTTGATAAATACATTTCTGAATTAGATGTTATGTTTGTTGAACAGTAAATAGTAACAACAAATCGGTTATATTAATTCGAATTGAATGTATCTACTAAAGTTTCAAATGGAATTCCAAGTGATAATGAAATTAGATTTTTTTTTTTTTTTATTAATTTTGTTTAAATGACCTTATTTCAAGTGTATATAGAAAAATAATGTAATTGGAGCAGCAAACCACTGAAATACACACAATGCCCACTCAACAGTTTCAAAACTCTTGTGCAATTCATAAATCTTCAATAGGTCAGGTTTGAATTCCTATGTAAATTCATCTCATGGGAACACTTCAAACAGTGTACTAGAGATCAGCATTTCTCCCCAAAGCATATGCTGCTGTGTTATGTTTATTTATTTATTTTTTAAAATAAAAAGCTGCATGTCTTTTTACTTGCATATATGGCACACTATTCTGACACATGCACACACAGCCTGAGGCAAGAGATAGCACTCTTTCTTTTCTCTGTCTCTGCTGTTACAAAGCTCTTTCATTTCTTTCACATCCTCAAGAGTTGTACTTCACAGTGAAGAGCAATCAGAGGACAGAATGATGTAAAGCAATACAACTTACTGTAATCCTTGAGAGTAAAAGTGAGAGACCGGAACGGAAAATGGGACACAAATCAAGGAAGTACTAGAAAGAGAAGGCTGATTTGTAACTCCTAGTTGGCATGGTAAATAAATAATTTCTCTTCTCAATTCTCTGAATTTAAGTTTTGAACATCAAAAAAAAAAAATCTAAACCTGCAGCTAAAGTTCCCCTAAATAACAACAGTCATTCTTCATAATTTTAGCTGCTGATAAACTTAAAAGAATAGTTCACCCCAACAAAAATGAAAATACCACCATCATGTCTATTTAAATGTTTTGTATGACTTACTTCGATGGAACACAAAAGAAGTTTATGAGAATTCCCTTGGTTTTCTTTTCTATTAATTGGCTAAGAACTGATACTTTGTATTTTCTGACCCTTTTTTTTTTAAATGATCCTTTTCTCTTCTTTTCTGCATTTCACTTCTGGTCTAGATAGTCATTTTATACTTTAAACTTGCCATTGTGTAGTGCAAATAATGTTGGCTCTTATGACCAATTGTTTGGTATATTCCTCATTTGTAAGTCACTGTGAATACAGAATCTGATAAAAGAATACATTAACACATTACTAAATTACCAAAAACACTACTGGTTTATCGGTCAAATCTAGAGTTCTGAAAAGTGTGATTTTTGTTTTTGTTTTTTTCCAGACTTTAGTGCTGACAGATTTTAAAGATTGCATGGCTTCCACTATAGCCTTTACTGTGTGTGTGTCTTTGTGTTTCTACAGGCTGGACAGTGCTAATTATGTTAGTGAGCGAGAGATTCAGTTCAAATTGATGGATGTTCTACAGGAGTCTCGATTCTCAGGGGCAGATCACAGCCCCTGCCCAAGAGATGCCAGTGAAAATGGTAGGAGTTCTCACATGCATATAATATGCAGCATTTTAAGAACTATTATTGCACTTTATATCTATAAAATCTTTACAGATGTTTGTCAGGAAAAACTTGAATTTCACTTTAAAGATTTGTCTCACCCTCTTTTTGTTTTTGACTTTTTTTTTAGAACCACATGACCCGTTGGCAGATGTGACGCATGATTTAAGGCGCTGTGATGACATCACTCCTGCAGTGCTGTCCCTGCCCTCGCTCTGTGGCCAGAGTCAGACCTCTGAAGGTCCCCTTAGCCCAGCTGACCTGCATGATGGGTCTGTCTCCAACACCACCTCTCTATCCTCTCTCTCTTCGTTCTCCTCTCTTTCCTCCCTCTCATCTCTCTCTTCTGTGCCCTGTTCCAAACCTGTGACGCCCTGGTCTGTGCCGCAGACCTGTGACAGGTCATCCCTCTCTAACATGGACTCCAGGGGCGGAGATTGCCTTAGCTGTCTGATCCCCAAAAATCAGACAGAACCGGAATCCTGTGAGTCTGTACTCGGCTTTGCCAGCATCAATTTGCAATGCCTTGGCCCCGCCCCCAGCGCAGGTCGCTATGGTGACCAAGTTCTATCTGACCAGCTGCTCAGCGGCCCCGCCCATCCAGCTGTATCCAATGAGGGGGCTGAGGAAGGGAGGTCGATGCAGGAGAGCGAATCAGATGAGGATCCTGCATCCAGGAGCATATACGAAGGTCTTGGTGAGGAGGCGCAGGACTGGAGCTGTCTAGAGACACTCATCAGTGAAAGCCGTATGGAGCTCTTGGACTTATGCTCTCGCAGTGAACTTGCAGTCAATCTGTTCTGTGAAGAAGATGTGGAGAATTACATGTTTCAAGAGGAGGAGACGGCACTCAGTACTGACGTCTGCTCACTTAAGATACGCTATGAGTCCTATCAGGATGGAGTACAGGAGAGAAGTGAGTCTGCCCTACAGGATGAATCTCAGCTAGGTTTCTTTCCCAGTTTACCTTGCAGTAGAAAGGAGGGGCCAAAAGAGAAAACTGACCAATCCATTGAGATTAAGGGTGATGACCATGTGACCCCCAATATTAGCCCAGACAGTAACTTTCTTTTTGACCTCAGTAATTCTCCAGAAGATTCTGGTGAATTCAGTGATGACAGCTCTTGCACAGGCTCCCCAGACCACGCGCTCTCCCTTCGCCATGGCCGTTTGTCTAGAGAAAACTCCAGCTCCTCCAGCCAGCTAAGCTACCGCCTCCGAGCAAAGAGGAAGGTGGCCTACCGAGAAGACTACCTGTATGATGTGGACTCTATAGAAAGTGAGAAAAACGCAGAGAAACGAGATAAACAGCCTGCTGGGCTCAAGAAAGAGCGTGATGATGACTGGTGTCCGAAGAAGAGGCGGCGGTCCAATAGGAAGGACCCACCTGTCATTATAAAATACATAATCATTAATCGGTTTAAAGGCCAGAGGCACATGAGAGTGCGGCTGGGACGAGTCGACCCATCGCCTTCTGTAGTCTGTTTGAGTCCAAATGCTCTGCTACGCTATGAGAGACTTGCACCATTAAAAGCTTACTGGCAGAAAAGAGAAAAGGAGTTGCAGGAACAGAATAGATTGACAGCTGCAGAAACAACCAAACGTCTCAATGGCTGCAAAAGACCGCCAAACACTATACCCAAACGCAAGCACAGGTTGGCCAGACTCCGAATCCAGCAGATCCATGCAGTACAGAATTCCCTCCCCAGCCAAACTATAGTGGTCCACGCTAACAATCAGCCAGAGGAGACTGAATCACTGAAAAGCACAGATGAACCAAAAGATGACATTACCCCCATTACGCACACTGCCAGGGCTAAAAGCAGAACACAGGAGAGAGAAGAAAGAAGAAAGGCAGGTAAAACAGGAAAGATAAAGAAGTTTAAAAGTGAAGCAAGACTTAGGTTGAAAAAGTTAAAAGACGCTGAGAGACAGGGAGTCCCTGAAGCCTCTGAGATTGAGCAGTGCAGCCCATGTTTACCAGAAAACCTTAGTAACTCTTTAGAAGGTAATGTTACAAATGAAACCTCCAGTAATGACCCTGAAAAATGCACTTTGACCCCAACAGCTCCAGGGACTAATGGAAATGCTGAACTCCTCCCGGGGGGATACCTGCAGACTCTTCTCGAAGCCTCTGAGTCATCGAGCACTGCTAACATCACCTATTTCCATCCAGGGCTGCAGAATCCCACCCTTCAGCCAGTCCAGAGCTGTGTTCTCTCTCCTCCCTCTGAATCAGAGCTGCCCCACTCTCCTCCACCTATGAACCACGGGCCCAACCACACAAATTATGCTGAGCCAAACCTTACTGAACCGACCCAGCCCATTTCATGGCCATCCCAACCATCTGCTGAACAGCTGCCCTTCTCCCCAGACATCCCAACCCAGTCGCCTATGATGCCATCGGGCTTTCCCACACCATTGCCTGTGTTAGCAGGGGATGGCACAAATGTCGCAGGGTATGGGCAAGTGTCTCTATCAGGGTGCAGGGTGTCATATGAAGAGTCCCAACCTGATGCTGATTATGGCTTGAGTCCGGCTGGGTCTCGGAGTGACAGTGGTGTAGGGCGACTGGTTAGCTTTAACTCCCTTGGGTCACTTTCTGCCACCTCTAGCAACTACAGCTCGCTCAGCCTAAGAGAGGGTGAAAGAGAGAGGGAAGAAGAGATCAGTGAGATCAACGATGGCTTCTTGCCACATTGCAGTCCACGGCTCATCCTGCAGCAAAGTCTAGAGGAGGTTGCTCCACTTCGAGAGTCCACTGACCTTCTGGATATCTCCAACTTTACCCCTGACAAGTTCCGTCATTCATCGCTCTCTGAGATGTCCCCACCAGACACACCTAATTCTTCCCCACAGCTGCTGGGGAATTGTGGTAAAGTTGGAGAGTTCTCTGAGGCAGCAGAAGCAAATGTACAATGGAACTGTGGAGTTGTCCCGCAACTAAATGAAGATGGAAACCCACACCTCCTTCAGATACAGTCTTTCAACACAGAGGAGGGAGATGTAGGGCTAAGAGACCACAAAGGTTCTACGAAAAAGGGTGGAAAAAATGGACAAGGCACTAAAAAGACCAAAACTCCAAAAACAGTAAAAGGAGAGAAAGTAAAGCTCCCACGTCAGGGTTCTCGTTCTGTGAAGAAGATCAAAGCCTTGCTAGAGGGAAAATCAGCCAAATGTGGTGGAGGGTCAGAAAGTTGCGCTTCATCCCCCACCCCATCGCTTGGCTTGATTGGAGCTCAGGGGGAGTGGCCTATTACCGGAGGACTATCAAACGATGACCAACGAGAATTCCAGGAACCATCAAACATCCTGTCCAATATAGTGTCTGGCATGGCTGAGGTACAGCGTTTTATGAGGGCCTCTGTGGAACCTCTTTGGGGGCCTTGCCTGTCACCAGGTCAACATGCCCTCCAGAGCCAGACACTGAAGATTCTGGGTAGTGCTGCTGACCTTAAAAAGCGGGGTGGTGCCTCAGGCGGAGGTCGAGGGAAGAAAGGGGCTGGGCGGGGTGGTAAAGCACTGCCTAAACTTCTCCCACCAGGCTTCTTTCCTACCCTTGGATTAGACTGCCTCCCACTTCCCCACCGCCCAGCCCACAAAAAAATGTACCGTCACAAAAGCAGTGCTAAGTTTGCCCGTGAGGAACTCTTAGCGGGCAAAAGGGACATAAAAGGAGTAGCATTGACCGCTTTGGTAGAGAAACGGAGGTAATATTTTCTCTCTGCAATGTGCCCCTTCTCTTTCTCCGTTCCCTTCCCTCGCACCCTGCCAAATCCTCCTAAAATCCTTTCACATTTCAGAGCTGCATGGCACCGACTTTACCCACAATCCTTTGCCTAGCCCACTGGAAGGCAGGCACATCCTGCATGTCAGCCCTGCTAAACTACCTACTAGACTGACTGAAGTCTCACTGTCATGGCTGCACCCTACTCACCATTGCTGCTTTGTTGCATTTTTACCTGACAAATTTTCAGTTGTTTTTAGTTGTTTTGTTTGTTTTACAAGAAGAAAAATGCCTTGAAAGTCTTTGGATTCTCTTTTAGTGTGGTGTTTATCTAAATATCAATATTTTGTCTTTTTGTTTTCCGTTGCAGCTATAACACTCTATGTGTTAAATCGGTGTCACAGCACCATGGTTTAAATCGAGCCCAGCGCCCTGCTCTGTCTCTCAGCAAATGGTTGCCTTCTGTTCAGGGGTCAAAGGTCATGTGTAGTATTCTGTGCTAAGAATCGTTTTCCCCTCGTTTCTGTGCCAACCCCTCAGAACATTGGGCTTTGACAAGCTAAAAGAAAGCGTCCTCACCAAGATGTTCGTTTTCTGAGGTTCTGAAATTCCGAAAGAGATTTTTTTCATTATTGTTGTTTGTTTATAAGTTGTGAAAAGGGGGTTCATTCATCTGTTCTCCAGTGAATCTCCTCCTGCCAGTATCAAAATGCTGTTGTACACAAACATATGCACTATTTACAAAACAAGATTATATCAAACATGTTTAAATTAATGTGCCAAACTATGAACAATTAAATGTACAGACATTTTTATCTACATAAATATTTGCTGTTTTATAATGTGGCAGTGATTGAGGTGTGTGTGTGTGTGTGCGTGTGCGCGCGCTTGGGATGGGGGGAGTTGTTAATCTGAGATTCACTCCTGTTGCATCACATCTGTACAAACAGCGAGGAGTCATCTCAACAATCAAAAGAAAAATGTTGGTTTATTTTCTGTTTTACACTCTTGGCTAGTTCCAGTTTAGAGGCATGAAGTGAGAGATGCATGACAAGAATTGGTGGTAGGAAGCCGAAGTGCTATAATGGCAGAGAAATGTATTGGTTGCCTTTCACTCTGATTTATTTCTGGATGGTAAAAGATAACTGTTCGTCTATAACAAGGTAAGAAAATGATCATTCCTTCTCATAACAAGACATATAATGCATTCTAACTGGTTTACATCCCCAAGTTTCTAATTTAGCTTTCAGTAAATATTTTCTCTGTACCTCTAATGAATTTTACACCCTTAAAACCAGATAAGAACAGGACCAAATATTGTTTGAAAGTTTTTCAAATTTGTTGCTAGTGATGTGCATGCATTTAAAACATATGAATATGTGCTGTGAATGCTGATCCCCTGTATTATTACTTTCTCTGACTCGCCTGTTTTTTGTTTTCTTACCTGATCTCAAAACCATTGTTTTTCAATTGCTGTTGGAATGTTATTTGTTGTGTTATAAAAAGAGGGAAAGAAGCCAACTTGGTTACCCCCATGTACTGTTTACTAAATTGCTGCAGGATTGTACAACTCCCTGGATCCCCTCTTTTGTGAATATGTATTTGAAAATATTTTTTTCTTTCTCTCTCTCTCTCTCTCTCTCTCTCTCTCTCTCTCTCTCTCTCTCTCTCTCTCTCTCTCTCTCTCTCTCTCTCTCTCTCTCTCTCTCTCTCTCTCTCTCTCTCTCTCTCTCTCTCTCTCTCTCTCTCTCTTTTTGTCCTTATGTTGACAGAGTGTGAAACACTTTTAAGTTGTTGACTGGGATGATCCTCCTATTTCAGAGTTCAATGGGTATTTGTGCAAATGCTGTTCACATTGCTGTGAATGAATTGAGGTTAAATTATTGGTGAAAATGTTGATGAACACAGGTGCAGATGATGAGTGACATTCCACAGCTGGTGGTGAGATTCAGAAGTGAGCTCCTCTGAAAACTTCTTGATTTTAGGGTGAACTAATTAGAGCCTTCCCAGCCAAATCAGCCTCACCAAGCAAAAAGCCAGGAAATATTAGCTGGGGAAAGTTTGTTGTCCATGTTTTCCCCGTGCTGAGTGAATGGAGATGTGACACAGTTGGTTCAGGTCCGTTGGCTCAGGGAACCCAACTGCATTCACATCTCTCATTCCCTCAGCTGTCCATCTCGACATAAACTCAAGCTGTTCTCAGCGGTGCCCCCTACTGTACTGTTTTTACATAGCCCTATTGTTGCTAAACCTGCAGGACATCTGTGATGCCAGTGCAGGGTGCTCTTGTTCATATTTTGAGAACAGAGTTTTACACCAGTGAAAACTTTATAGCACACATCCCCTGCACTAACTGTTCATATTTTTAAAAGTTCTTAAACAGTGTTATTCCCCTATAAGTGCATCATGTAGTTAAAACAGGAATATCAAAACTTAATTGTGCCCTATTTATGAATGTATTATATTGTCAAGTTGGAAGTATTTTTTTTTCATGATTTATTTGACACTGCATTACTTGTAACTACTTTTGCCTTTTTTCATCATCAAGAAAAAAAAAAAGAAACTCTTTCTACTGCCTGGTCTGTGTTCACCAGGTGGATTCTCAATGAACTTGATGTAGGGAAAAAAATGATGACCTGTATATTTTTCATTGTGCCAATTTGTAACATATTTTCTAAGTGTATATTTTTCTTAGAAAGTGATGTGAGGTCGTTCTTACTGTGGCTTTGTTCTTTTCCCTTTTCAGCAAGTGAAAAGGTTGCTAATTGCCATGTTTTCTTTCTTTCTTTCTTTTTCTTTCTCTCTCTCTTATTTGTTTTTTGTTTGTTTGTTTTAAAACCAAAAATTGAAAATACTATAAAAAATAAATAAAAAACTATTGTAAAGGAGAGAGAAGGAGAGCAAGCTGTGACTCTTTGTTGAGAGTTTTTGTAATTGGACCAATCTTGTTGTAAGAGTGTTGTGCTCTAGTAAAAATATATATTAATTTAAAGATAAAAAAAGAAACCATGAAAACAGACAGTGGAACAATAACACTAATTTGTGATCTCATTGCTGTTTTATAGATTTTCATGTAAATTATTCTAGTATTTTGTTTTTGTTGTATCTGTCACAAAAGTTGAAATATTTGTGATCAAGCCTGTATGGTGACAAATGTAATATTGGTAACTTGCTGAGTTTTGTAATCATGTTTATGGAATAAATATTAATTAAAAGAGCTTTTGATCACTTGTTTCAGTACTGTTTAATTTTTACTTGTAAAATGAACAAATCTGATTTAACCAAATTTGATGTAGCCTTTCTGTTTTCCAACGTTGTTGCTCTGTCGGGTTAGTTCGTGCTCATCTGGTAGGCTAAATCCTAAATATATCTGCATATCTCATTGTAAATCAGCTTTGATTGCAGTTTTTACTACAACAGCAGTTCAAGGAACACACTACTGTTGACTCTTCTACCACAAGAGTGCTCTATTAACTATGAAAACAGATGTTCCGTAGAAATCACAGAACTTAAAAACTAACAGAATTTACAATACATAAATTATTTTCATTCTTGTAAATGTTTGTTTATATTTCATCTGTAAGTAGGCTATGATACACAGGACAGGTTTAATAAAAGCCTGATGACATAAGACTTACGACATTTCTATCTAGGCCAATTAGCTGGTTTCAAACTGTAGGCTATATCTAATTTGTTAAGCTTTATATAGTATAGTTACATTACGCTGAAACTGTAAACTGGAACATCATAAACGTGTGTTGCGCGTATCTGTCTGTTTAGCTGCCAGTCATCTAGACCCTAGAAATGTATCCAATCATATCCCAGAAATTGAGGAGCCACAGTTTATGGGTGTGTTTTTGCTTGAAGGGGGCGGGGCCACAAAGGCACATAGTACATTTGCTGCGCGGACGGACCCGAAATCAGATAAACGGTACCAAGGCCTTCTGCATTCACTTTGTTGAGGTTAACATTGCATCAGAAGAGAATTTCACTTACAGTGTTTTGTAAAAAACACTGTACAGCACCCCGACAATATAGGCACCACGGATCAGCCAAGAATGCCAAATATAAAGATTTTTAGCGGCAGTTCGCATCCGGATCTGTCGCAGAAGATCGCGGATCGACTGGGACTCGAGCTGGGGAAAGTGGTCACCAAAAAATTCAGCAATCAGGAAACCTGGTGAGTTAATTTCAGTCAGATTTAAAACTGAAACTGTGCTTTCCCATAATGTTTTGGCTAGGGTAAACGGAATGGTAAACACATGGGAACCATGTTTTTTTTTTAGTTTGTAGTTTTCTGAATTGGATGATGTCGTCTGGCGCAATGCGCCTCAAACATGCAACAGACTCAGTTTCCCAGCATGCACCTGCATTAAGCATGTGACTCTGGGGCCGCTAATGCTAATTTTAAACGTCCTGTCTGGCCTCCTCTGCCACGTGAGGAGTCATACCGTTAATTAATTGTGCCATTTTGAAATGTAGCTGTATTGTTATTATTCATAATTATTTTAATATTCGTAGTTGTAATACTACTGTACACATTAGACGTAATTAAAAAAAAAAACACAACAACTCTCATATGTAGACATGAAAAATCATGTTGGCTCTGCTGCCAGTGTTTATTATATAATTGACTTTTAGCCCAAGATGAGTGGAAGGCTTGTGACCCCAAGATAAAATGTCTCTTACTCTTTATCTGCTCCTGACTTGTGATAAATGAAGCCAGGTTCTTGACGCAACACTTTCAGTTTGCTTTTTTTAATGGTTAAGTCTGATCCCCAGTGAAGACCAAATATCAGCTCATATCACATACTCTCCTTTAATCAGGCTGACAAATATAGATTTATTGTGTACTGTCTTTAGTGTCTCCGCCTTATCTGTGTGTGTTTTTCACTGTTTTTGTGTGTAGTGTAGAGATAGGAGAGAGTGTGCGTGGAGAAGATGTCTATATTGTCCAGAGTGGCTGTGGCGAAATAAACGACAATCTTATGGAGCTGTTGATCATGATCAATGCATGTAAGATTGCGTCAGCATCCAGAGTCACTGCGGTCATTCCTTGCTTCCCCTACGCTCGGCAGGACAAGAAGGACAAGGTGGGGGTGAGAGAAACAGCTTGTTTATTAACATGTCCTCACAGTTAATCATGCATTAATCGCATCACTGTTGGTGGATCCATGTGGGCTACTTTCTGTAAGTCTTTCTTCTGTGGTGTCAGTGTGTGTTTCTTGTATTCTCCTTTTCTGGCCTCTTGGCAACTTATAAGGCATGGCTAATTATGCTTGCTCTTTTCCTGTTAATGGTCGTGATGATACCTGTTTATGAGTATGTTTAGTTACGAGTGAGAATTTTGTCTGGTAGAGTCGGGCCCCAATCTCAGCCAAGCTGGTCGCCAACATGCTGTCTGTAGCCGGAGCAGACCACATCATCACTATGGACCTACATGCATCTCAAATTCAGGTACACACAGTAAACCTCCTTCCCTCCAAACACAGACTCAAAACAAACCCTTATCTCTCATGAACAGAGATCAGTGACATAACCCTACAGTCAGGCACATATAAAATGCAGAAGAAATGTAATGCCCACCCCGTTTTACAAGTTTTTTTTTAACGTTTTTGCTCAAGGTATGATTTTAAGTCAATGTGTTTGTTTTTTTTGTTAGGGATTCTTTGACATCCCAGTTGATAACTTGTATGCTGAGCCAGCAGTCCTCAAATGGATAAAGGAAAACATCAATGAGTGGAAGAATTGCACCATTGTTTCTCCTGATGCCGGTGGAGCCAAGAGGTGTGTTTTTCTTTTTCCTCTCCTGCCTGTCTCTCAAAAACATAGGGTCTCGTTCAGTGACCCATGTGTATGCAGAAATGAAGACGTGATACCTGCGTACAAAGGTTTTCACAAACAAATAAATCATGATTCATAAATTTTTGTACTAAAAGTTTAGAATAATTTAACAATAAATGTAACATCAACTGAAACCACACATAGGCCAAAATCACATCTCGGTGGTCTTATAAACGTGTTTATATATATATATTAGGGCTGTCAAATGATTAATCGCATCCAAAATAAAAGTTTGTGTTTACATAATATATGTGTGTGTACTGTGTATAATTATTTTGTATATAAATGCACACATGTATATATTTAAGAAAAATGTTATTTATATATAAAATGTTTATATTTATATAAAATATACATTATATATAGGCTACATTCAGTCTATATACAGTATATATACATGCAAATATTTCTTAAATACACATGCATGTGTGGGTATTTATGTATTAAAAATAATTATACACAGTACACACACATATATTGTGTAAACACAAACTTTTATTTTGGATGCGATTAATCGTTTGACAGCCCTAATATATATATATATTATATATATATTTTACATGTTTATATATTTATGCTTTATATATATATGTATAACACCGGTTGTATTTGTCTAAAAGAAGAAGGTCATACACCTAATCATATACTATGTGTATAGTATAGTCTAGTATAGTATAGGAGAGTCATATATATATGGCTTGAGGGTGAGTAAATCATGGGGTAATTTTCATTTTAAAGTGAACGACACTCAGGAAAGTTGACGGGCCAGTGATGCATCATCATGAAAGTTAAAGCATTGTCAATTTATATAATTTATATAATCAAGCAAAAGAAGACGTGAAAGGGAACTCAATTTGTTACTCGAAGCACACGTCTCAGTGAGCGCGCGATACTGAATTGAGCTCTTTCACGTCATCTTGTGCTTGAACAGACCTATTCAAACAAAATTGTCGAAAGGCCCGTCTTGGCAAGTAAACCTAGTCACTTGTTTCTTGGCAAGTAAACCTAGTCACCTGTGTGTCTGTGTATATATACATACACACACACTGGCTTAAGACATATATATATATATATATATATTTATATAATATAAATATGTGTATATATATTTATTTACCTTTTAAATCTTTTTTTCTTTTAAATTAGCATTTTTGAGTTTTTAATGTTTTCTCTGATCAATTTTTTTGCCTGATCAATTTTTTTGCCTGATCAATAAGGCATTTCAATAACTGACAAATAACCCTTTCATTGCCATTAAGGTGAAATTACTGAGACTTCATGCTATATATATATATATATATATATATATATATGTATGTATGTGGAAACACCATATATGGAAATGGTTTGGGTGTGTTTTACACAAATCACTAACCTTGGGCGAGAGGTGGCGAATTCAGGATAATCCAAATTCATTAACATTCCAATAAGGTTAAGAACAAACGAGTGTCTGTATGCACGTGGTCTAAATTTGGACCACCATGTATAAATTTGAATAATTTACACAATTATCATTGAATGAGACCCATTCTCTTCTTTTCTTGTTTCACCGTCATTCTTGTCATTTATTATCCTTTTTAAACCAGTTTGTTTAACAAGTTTTTAAAAAATGTATTTTGTGATCTTTTTAAGTATTGGATTGCAAATAATATGATTTAAAGCAACATAGCCGTTTCAGGTTGTTAAACCTGGAGAATTGTAGTTCATAATGTTGATAAGGCTCTTGAAGACGATGGACATGAATGTGTTTTACTCTTTTTAGGTGTGGAGGGTAAGGAAATGTCAGGTTTTTGGTGTGTTTGTGTGAGTGTGTGATTCTCTGCTAACAGTCGATGGCTTGGCCTAAACCTTTAGCTGTACATTATAGTGGTAGGCACTTTTTTCAAATCTGTTTGAAGCCTTTTAAAGCTTAGCTAATTTAATCATGCTGATTACATCATGTGATTGGTTTCTGGAGAAATGGACTGACTGCAGCGCCCCCTTTTGTAACAATTTAAGGCACTCGAGTGAGTGAGTGATCTTACGCACACTGTGACTGGAGTTTGTACTTGTTTTTACTGACATTTGCGCATGTGGCCTATCTGTGATGTCTGTATATGACACTTGCAGAGAAGCCTGAATGCATCCATTGTCATTTCTCACTGTTGTACAGAATGCTACCTAAGAATTGTGTTCATTTTATCAGAGTAACATCCATCGCTGACCGACTGAACGTGGACTTTGCCCTAATCCACAAGGAGCGGAAGAAGGCCAATGAGGTGGATCGTATGGTACTGGTTGGGGACGTGAAGGACCGAGTGGCGATTTTAGTAGATGACATGGCGGACACATGTGGGACAGTATGTCACGCGGCTGACAAGTGAGGAATCGCATGATACACGATCACTTTCATGCTCAAACACATGCACATTCATGATTATCCTAGTAATCTGTCATGCCTCCATACAGGCCTGTCTGTGTTTTAACTGCATATGTGCGTCTTTGTCCTCTATCAGACTGGTGTCTGCAGGAGCCACTAAAGTCTACGCCATCTTGACTCACGGTATCTTCTCTGGGCCTGCCATTTCTCGGATCAACAATGCCAACTTTGAGGCCGTCGTGGTCACCAACACAATTCCACAGGAGGACAAAATCAAACACTGCAACAAGATTCAGGCACAGACATTTATCTTATAAAAATCAATTTAAATATCGATTCTTCAAGATCTAATTAAAAAATAATAATTCAAACAAATGTTTTCAGTCACACAGTCATCACATGATTATGCAATAATTGTATATGCGTTTCAAAGTCAGAATCGAACCTCAAGCTTGTGAATCTGAATCAAATCAGTGATGATATGGAACTCTATGGTCTCACAATTTTAACATAAATTTGTGATACATGTACACTATTGTTTAAAAGTTAACTGAGGCTAGATTTTATTTGATTAAAAATACAGGAATATTGTGAAATATTATTACAAATTAAAATAAGTGTTTTCTATTTGAATATATTTTCAAATGTAATTTATTCCTGTGACGACAAAGCTGAATTTTCAGCATCATTACTCCAGTCTTCAGTGTCACATGATCCTTCAGAAATCATTCTAATATGCTGACTTGGTATTCAGGAAACATTTCTTATTAATATCCGTATTTTTGCAATAAAGGAATGCTTATTACTATGAATGAATGTTGCCGCTGAATATTTTTAGTGAAAACATTTTTTCAGGATTTTTTTTAATGAATATTAAAGAACAGCAATTTAATGCATCCTTGCTGAATAAAAGTATTAAAGGGTTAGTTCACCCAAAAATGAAAATTATGTCATTAATAACTCACCCTTATGTCGTTGCAAGCCCGTAAGACCTCCGTTCATCTTCGGAACAAGATATTTTAGATTTAGTCCGAGAGCTTTCTGTCCCTCCATTGAAAATGTATGTACGGTATACTGTCCTTGTCCAGAAAGGAAATAAAGACATCATCAAAGTAGTCCATGTGACATCAGTGGGTTAGTTAGACTGTTTTGAAGCATCGAAAATACATTTTGGTCCAAAAATAACAAAAACTATGACTTTATTCAGCATTGTATTCTCTTCCGGTTCTGTTGTCAATCCGCGTTCAGTGCCGCTGATGACGTAAGACGCTGCTGACGTGTATCTGGTGCGTCCATGTATTCGGGTTAAAATAAATATGGCTGGGCAAAAAAATGCAAGTCTTCCTCTGTGTCGAAATCCTTAGACATGTTTGTGAAGATTGTTTTGTTTACAGCGTGCGTCTCCCTCAGACTGAAAACGAAGCTCGGGCGCACAAGATAACACGTCAGCAGCGTCTTACGTCATCAGCATCACTGAACGCGGATTGACAACAGAACCGGAAGAGAATACAATGCTGAATAAAGTCGCAGTTTTTGTTATTTTTGGACCAAACTGTATTTTCGATGCTTCAAAACATTCTAACTAACCCACTGATGTCACATGGACTACTTTGATGATGTCTTTATTTCCTTTCTGGACAAGGACAGTATACAGTACATACATTTTCAATGGAGGGACAGAAAGCTCTCGGACTAAATCTAAAATATCTTAAACTGTGTTCCGAAGATGAACGGAGGTGTTACGGGCTTGCAACGACATGAGGGTGAGTCATTAATGACATCATTTTCATTTTTGGGTGAACTAACCGTTTAAATACTTACCAACAATAACAAACAAACATTTGAACGGTAGTGTAATCTGGTATTAACTTCTGGAATGTTATATCTGATTTGGTTGTTTTACAGATAGTATTTTTTAGTAGTTCTTTACTCTGAGCATTCTGACAGATTTATTTCTCTCTCCCTCTCCAGGTGATCGACATTTCTATGATCCTGGCTGAAGCCATCAGGCGAACTCATAATGGGGAGTCGGTTTCATATTTGTTCAGCCACGTACCTTTGTAACACGCACATACATGCACACACGTCATCTCTTTACACACGTCATCACAGTGTACAGACTCGCATGATGGAGAACCATTGCTGGGTTTGTCACACGTAAGGGTCTCACACGCACCATTTAACTGAAGACATATCCTGGACAGTGAATGAAAAGAATGAAAGCTTTCCCCCTTTCTGCTGCATGTGCTGACTCGCCTTGTTTTCCCCAAGAACATTGTGAAATGTAATAATTTGATACTTCTATCATCTTGATTTCCAACTACTATCCACTCATTGAATTTCACCCGTCACACTGTTATATAAATGTTACTTGCATGTTTGTCTGTCTGTTATTTCCTTAGAAATCATTTAAAAGTAACAATTAGACAAAAACCCCAGCTTATAATGGGAAATCTCCTGTAATACTGGATTTTTTTTGCTGGTATTTTAACTCCAAGTTTACTGTGTAACTTAAAGGTACGATGGACGTTTATGAGTTTTGTATCATCTTATTTTTGTTATAGAATATAATTACTAACATGTGGCAAGATTGGAAAAGAATAGAGATGGGTTAGACCCCTTTAGATTGCCATTGTTATGGCAGCTGGATTTTTTCTTTTTCTTTATCTTTTTTTTCCCTTTTTGTTCCTCTTCTCAGGTTTTAGTTTGTTTTTTGTTTTTTTACTTTATTGATTTGCATCTTTTCAGGGTCTTTTGACAGGGCAAAAGCCAAAATCTGAGTGGACAAATTAGGTCATTTATAAAAAAAAAAAAAAAAAAATTGTGTTAAGATGTTTGTTCATGTTTACAGTTAGGCAGTGTTTTTGTTTGCTTGAACAGAGTTCTGTGAAGTGCCCTTCAGATTGGGCTGAAAACACACACACTCAAGTCCTATTAAGTGGCTACTGTGGAATTGGCCTGAACAATCAGCCTATTGAACCATATTTTTGCTGTTTCTTGCTTATATCTGTGTGGGTTAGTGTGTTTGTTCTTTGAAGTATGTTTCTTTTTTCCCATGCTACAGGGTTAGTTCACCCAAAAATGAAATTTCTGTCGTTAATTACTCATTGTCATGTTGTTCCAAACCCGCAAGACCTTCGTTCATATTCGGAACACAAATTAAGTTATTTTTGATGAAATCTGAGAGCTTTCTGACCCCATAGACTGACAGAAAGCTCTCGGATTTCATCATAAATATCTTAATTTGTGTTCTGAAGATGAACGAAAGTCTTGTGGGTTTGGAACAACATGAGGGTGAGTAATTAACGACAGACATTTTCATTTTTGGGTGAACTAACCCTTTAAGCGAGATCAGAGATAATACACAACTATCCTACAGCTTACACTGGAGAAGTATGTGAGATGGCAGAGTTTGATTTGATAGGTGTATGCCGTTTGCCTTAATGAAGGAAAACAATACTGACGACTGTATCTTGTCTGAATACAGAACAAGTAAAGCATTTCATGTATAAACTGCACACCTGCTTGTTTTTCCAATTATTATATAGGGTTGGGAGGGTCACTTTTAAAATGTATTCTGTTGCAGTTACAAATTACTTCATAAAAAAGTATTCAGTAACGTAATCCAAGCACCACATTATGAAAGTAATGTAATCTGATTACTTTTGGATTCCTTTAAGGTCACATATATAAATAAAGTAAGGTAAAAAGCAATCATCAAAGTAATTTTATTTAAACGTGTATTGACATGATCACCAACTAGATTTTACAGTCCCATATATATATATATATATATATATATATAAGGCTATACAGACATCTGGCTACAGATAGTTTTATTTCTTTAACATGAAAAATACTTATAGTTTATACACAATATTTAAAAAAGTCTGCACCATCTACATATTAGTCTGCTTTAAAATTCATGTTTATCAAGGCTGTTATCTTTCTTAATTTCACTGACTGACCCTGCGCGTTAGTGGTGGGAGTTTTGGTTCATTTTCCTCCAGAAACTTAGATACAACTGCGATCAGAAATAAACTATGGAATTTGAAATCACTAAATTTTAGCTAACGATGTCCGTGCTAGTAGCTACCTTTGAATGTTTAGGTTGGATGTTGAGTCCTTTGATAAAGAAAACGTTTTCATAGCTGGAAGGCATGTTTGCGCTACACACCTATGTTGTTTCCTTTTTCCTCAACAATAACTGTGAAATGTCTAGACATGAAAACGGGTTTCGGGAAGCATCGTAATTAATAACTTAATTGTCTCAACCTGTGTCTTAGGAGAATGGTTGTAGACGTTATTTTAACATAAATATTTCATTGGATATTTAAGCGTCATTTCCGTTGGCTACACGGAGCTCTAAAAGCAGTGCACACTAATATAGACGTTTATAAAAAAAGAAGACGACTTATACACAAGCGGACTAGGTGGCGCATATAGGCAATAGCCTACATTACAATTTCTGTAGGATGTTTATACGTCTACTTATATGTTTGGAAATATTTCCCGATATGAATCATGACCTATATTAATCTATTATCAATAAAATATAAAAAGTGGTCGAGGTCTGGTTTACAGATCATGTCAGGTCGATTATGGCTGACAGCCCACAGCAACCGATGAGATAGGCTATAAATTCACCTATCCCGTCACTCTCAGCAGAAACAACAATGAAAATAATAGTCATCAGTATTGAAGTAATTGTAAGGAAAACCGATTTGCCAAATTATCTTGTTTGTCAACGTCACATTAAACAGAGCCTAATCCAAATACCGACGAGTCACGAGCTCGGCGTCAAACTCGCGCTCTCCGTGGTGTGTCCTCCTGTCGTTATCTCGCCACACGATTGCGAGATACTGTTTTATCTTAACGAGCAATGTTCCCACGGCTCGGGCTCAGTAGTGCAAGCTACCCTGTTATCATCCACTTGTCTTATTTATGGAAGCCTGTTTAGAAATGTGCACGAGTGACAGAGAACGCGCGTGCTTGGACACACTCAGATCAAATAATATATCCAAAGTTATTATTGAGGGGAATTTTGTTTTCTATCATCAACAAGCAAAAACAAGCGGATTCGCAGAGAGAAAGAGAGAGAGAGAGAGGACAGAGCGCTCGCCTTATACCTTTCGACCTCCTAAACTTTTAACCCCGCCGCGCGCGCAACCGTCGCGCGCAGTGATGTTGACTGACAAGCGCCGATTTTTTACCGCACAATTTGCAACCTGAGCATAAATTCTGCACCATAAATGTGAGTATAGTGAATTTCTTACGCTTTTTAGGCTTGTTCCTCAATTTTTTTGTTGTATTTGGGAAGCACATAGGAACAAGCATAGGCTATATCACGGAGGAAAATAGGAGTTCGTGAAATGTGGTGTTTATTTTGTCGCCGTGTGTGAGTTTGGACATGGCGTGTCATGAGTGTGTGAATGAAAAAGGTGTGACGACATAGAAGGCATCCCGCTAATGGGAGACAGAGAAATCAGATGGAGGGAGAAAAGAGAGACACGACAGAAGAAGGGACAGAGCTTGGTAAAGAGGTGTCTGAGAAGAGAAACTCAAAAATGAAAACGTTCTAAACGCTTTTGCCAATATTCTCATTTGTTTTCAAGGAGATAAAAATGCCTATTGGAGAAACTGCCTAACAAATCAGTGGGGACGAATTTTAAATCTGTTTCGGAATTAATTCACCAACGAAAAGCTCCTTATTTTCATAACGATGAGGTAAGAGACGTCAAAGAAAAAAGAAAAAACAAATAGGGCTATGCGCGAGAAAAATACAGGTTGCAGAGAAAATAAATGCAGCTAAGTAGGCTATTTGGATAGAACTAAATGAAGACATTTTTTTCTATAAAGCAGCCTGCAAATTGAGATTTTCCAACAGTCTGTATTTTATCTATTATTTATAGCTAACGTTAAACGTTTGACATTTTCAGCCAAAAAACGTCGCTCTTATTCTGTCCTAAAATTCTAACCTATTTATCATCGAACGCAAACTGAAAACTCGAAACTTTTTTTTTTAATCAAGGCTAAATCATTTGTATTTAGCCTACTTAATCACATTCCACAATAATTTAAATAAATCAGCTGTCTGAACGCATTTTTAAAGAACATTGTGAGTTTGTGTGGATTTATTTATTTGTTTGTTTATTTGTAATTAAGATCTGGAGATCACCTGCTGATTTTTATTTATTTTATTTTTTTACCATTTTCCATTGCGCATCTTTTAGTTCACCGTAGTTAACCTCAAACGGGGATATGGCGGATTTAGAGTTCGGATCTCTACAATCGTGTTCCGGCGGCGATTCCCCAGCGATGGAATTCGAGAACGACAAAGATTCCGGACATCACGGTCGGAGCAAAACCGGGTCGCCGCCACTGCAAACTCAGCCTCCCCAACAGGTCAGCCATGACTGCAAGTGCAGCCTCCCCGAGTATACAAGGCAATAATTCTGCTGTCACATTTTTTGTTTGTACATTTTGTGATTATTATTATTATTGGTGTTTATTTTAAGTGGAAATTGTTTATTGCACGTATTCACTTCCCGGATAAAGCTAAAAGGGAATAAATAATGTTTACAAAACAAATAGACATTTTTGTAGCATCACATTCATTACATGAGTGTATTAGGCCTATTTATATTACGTGTATTTAGTAGGCTACGAAGTGAATTTAGATCGTTTGTTGTTGGGTGTCTTCAAAATTTACACGCATATCTTTTTATTTTGCTTTCAAATTCGATTTTTATTAAATTCATTATTATTAAATGCCGCTCTAGACTATTTTCACAATTATGGTATGGACTAATAAAAACAAAAAAAAAACAAAAACAAAAAACAAGGTGGTTAAAAAAAACGTAAAAATGAATTACCAGACAGGAAACGCTTTATTTTATTTAAATAATATATTAGTATTATTATGTTTGTTATATTTGTCAACATATTCAGACAGAATAAAGAAAATCAGCAGTAATTTCCATTTCCTCCCCCTTTTTTTCTTCAATGATGCAGGGTATGGAGGGAATCAAAGTTTATTTGCACGAGAGAGATCTGTGGGCGAAATTTCATGATGTCTCTACAGAGATGATCATTACCAAAGCTGGCCGGTGAGTGACAAAAGATATGATCTTTGATATGATCAAAAATATGTATTTCTCTTTATGGTATATTCATGGATCAACACAATCTTTTTCAACATAATTCTCAGGCAGGAGCAAAGGGCCCTTGGAGGACAACAGAGTAGACAGAAATAGGGCAAACTTTGTCATCATATTCAAACATGCTGGATGGATACCAGAAAATATTTGGTTTGATTTATTTCCAAATAAATCCATTCCGTTTTTAATTAGAGTGGCCCACATTGAATACAATTGAAATTGATAAACAAATAATGTCTTTAAATATATGTGATAGTTTCAGGGACTTTCAGCTACATACATCTGCAGCTTATTACAATTATTGCATAATTGCAAAAAATAAAAAGCTCTTTCTTTACATGCAATGACTTCATGGACCAGGAAAATGTTTCTGTGCTCAGAGACAATCAAGAAAATGCTCCATTGTAATATTATTGTTGTATGTATGTATGCATGCATGCATTTATGTATTATTATTAATTGTTGTTAGCTCTCTATAATGCATCATTAATCTTTTACAGACGAATGTTTCCCAGCTACAAAGTGAAGGTAACAGGCCTAAATCCCAAAGCAAAATATATCTTACTGATGGACATTATTTCAGCCGACGAGCATCGGTATAAATTTGCAGATAACAAATGGTAAGAACTACAGTGAAATTCATACATTTTAATTGATGTAAATTGTAATATTAATATTCATAAATGAATAGAAGGGTCAACATTTTTATAAAGATGATTCATTCTTTTACACAAATATTAAATGGGCATTTATTAAAAATGTTCAGAGTGGTCAGCATTGTAATTATTGTAGGGTATTGGGCTGTTGAGCATGACTGAATGAAAAGGAGAGATTTAGCTAAATCAATGCGTGCAGGGGGAATGCAAAGAGAAAGGAATGCATAGTGTAAATATGAATGAATAGAAAATGAACTGTGTTGTTGTTGTGAAATGATGCATGACTCATATAATTATGAGCTTTGGTTAGGTTGTATTGTTCAGTGAGTGGAGGATCCACAGTGAGAGAAACTCTGAGACAGAAGCTCATTTTGCACCCTGAACTTTTATCTTAGAGTTGTGGAGCAGACAGAAAGTCCTTATCTTCTTTAATGTTGACTAACCCGTTCCTATCTCCTCTGGAGGTCCATCAGTGGTAAAGCTGAGCCGGCGATTCCAGGCCGACTGTATGTGCACCCAGACTCACCGGCTTCAGGAGCTCACTGGATGAGACAGCTCGTCTCTTTCCAGAAACTCAAACTCACCAACAACCACCTGGACCCTTTCGGACATGTAAGTAATGATGTCAATCAGATTGAAGTGGTTATTTAATTTGCTGATGAATGTGATTCGACTCCCCACAGTTTCTTAACCAGTGGGTTAACCAGGAAATCTCTTCCTGTTATTTGCTGCAGATCATTTTAAATTCCATGCATAAATACCAACCTCGCCTGCACATCGTGAAGGCAGACGAGAGGAACAGCTTTGGCTCCAGCAACACAAGTTTCTGCACACACTCCTTTCCTGAGACGACTTTCATCGCTGTAACTTCCTACCAGAACCACACAGTAAGCAGCAGGAGTCCTATGATCGTAAATAAATGGATAGATTTGCATAAAGCAGCAGTGTTCATCTTTAATCCTCTTTTATTTTCAGATCACTCAGTTGAAGATTGAGAATAATCCATTTGCTAAAGGTTTCCGTGGAAATGACGATGTCGAACTGCATCGCATGTCCCGTACACCAAGGTGGAGCGCACATATTTTAAACATATCAATACGTATGCATGTCCGCACGCAAACATATTTGACTTTAGTAGATCATGTCAGCACCATAACAGTTTGTGATGTGAGTAATGATGAATCACTAATGTTCTGTATTTTTCTTTCTTTCAGTTTTCATGTATGTATGTGCCTGCATGTCATTGTGTGTTGCATCCCGTAGCCACTAATGTTGTTGTTTTAGATACACAGAGAATATGTTGTACTTTAACTAGCAGGGTTTGGGAACAAAAGTCAAAGCTTTCTGTTGAATGTTGACAGTATTGAATGTGACACACAAGAGAGGGATATTTATAGTGTAACAATATTAAGAGCAGAGCGGCACAACACTGTCACACAGAAAGGTCACTGAAGGGCTAATGTGTGTGTGTCTGAATAAATGCGTTTTTGAGAGAGAGAGAGAGAAAACAGAGAGAAAGAGGAATGAGTCAGATTGGAAAGGGGGTATAGAGAAGATTTTTAGCTACTGTAATTGTCTCTTAGCTTAGAAATTTAATTAGAAACGATCAGTATTGTGCAAATGATATCCCTTACCCTCGCCGCCCCACCATGCCAATGCAAATCATGAGACTGCTCTCTCTCTTTTAACACCCTGATCTATCAACCCTAGTGCCAGTGTTTCGAGACTCCTCCCCTAAAAGTACCATAATTCACTTGGATATATCCTGGAAATATAGCTTTTGAGTTTTTCCTTTAATCATAATTTTCTCAAATATTGTCTTGGTCTCTGCTGTAGGAATGTGCAGTGTGTCTGATGCCTTTTTTTGCCTTTTTTTTTGCCATTTTTCCACAGTAAGGAGTATCCACTTGTGCCACGTAGTACTGCAAGGCAGCATGTAGCTCCACCCTCTCCTGACTGTCTCTCTCGGTCAGAATACACTGTGACACAAAAACCCAGTCCAGGCTACACCTGCTCCGACACTTCAGGTACATAGTCCAAAACAAAGAGTTTGAATTTTTGTGTTATAATATTTTGATTAAAGGTACGTTTTATTTACTCAAATAAAACTCAAGTTACTCAAGTTTTGTTATAGTGGCTCCAAGGTATGTGGCATTTAAAAATAAATAAATAATTTTAGCAGCTTAAAAAGATGAGTGCCTTAAACCTCTCTAAATGACTTTAAACTTACTAATTTAATAAGTCATAATTTGATTTTGTACATTTTTTTATATTTATTATTTGTACTTATTATTTGTTACTTATACTTAATAATTATTATTTGTACTTATTCTGTTATTTTGTACGTTCTTGTGCTGCTTCGGAATTATTGTGGTTTTTTTTAAACAGTCAAGTCCCCTTTATTTAGCGCTTTATACAGAATAAAATTCTGCTGTAAAGCAGCTCTAAAGAGACAATAGCAAACAGTCACCATTCAGGTCAAATAACTTCAGTGTTGATTCAGTTCGGTTCAATAACTGTAAAGTTCATCAATTATGGAATGAATTCAATTCATCTATAAAGCAGCTCTGGAGAACATCCAGCTCAGTTCGGTTCTCGTCCGATAGAGTCAGTACAGTCAAGTCAATAATATTGCAGAATATTAAGTGGCTAAAAGTAACCATTATAAAATGTTACGACTGCATGATTTGTGAGGTGTAAATGACTGTAATTTCCTTTATACTTTGTAATTTGATGTATGTGACCTACCGAGGGCTTAGCCTTCGAAATGAGAAAGCAATTATTTTCTGCACGCAAAAAAACAAAAAACCAGCCTGTGCTGTGATGTCTGATTCAAACAGGTTCTTTTTAACGAGTCAGTCAAAAATGTTCACGAAGCAGCCTCGATCTTGCTTGTGAATGCAATGTGCTAATTTCTGCTAATTTAATTTCTTAAATTATTATGGGATCTCCTTCAAAGCTTTTAGAATCTTTGCTTTTTTTATTTCTGTATTTATCAAATGAACATATTTTAATGACAGTATATTTTTTAACAAAAATAAATGTTTATTACATTTATTTAAACAAAACCCCTTTTATTATTTATTTTACTTACAGTGTAATTGAGCTCCAAAATATTTTATTTTAGGAGCCAACATCGTCCTTGTCATTTTTGCTGTTCAGACTCTATTCTGTATGCAGCAGAGAGCACTCTGTAGACTTTTTTGCCATCCTGGATGCATGTTATTATTAATTCAAAAGGTCAGTGGCCGTCTTCTAAGCAAGCAGCAACAAACTATATAAACCCAAAACAATGAGCTACTCTTTTAAAGCAGAAATCCACATTCTTATTTGCCATGTCTTTACTGGAATGATTGAAAAATGTTTGTTTTTTCTGCAGGTGATCACACCCTCACTGAAGCCACACACACTCATGACCCCACCTACCAGCTCTTCACCCACCAGCTCTCCCCCTGCAGTATGGACACCGCACAGCACCAGCCTTGCATGTACGGAAGCTCTCAGGTGGGCATGGAGGACCTCAGGTGGGCGTCTTATACAGACAGTACAACTTACCAAAGCTTTTCTTCTGCTAAAGAAATGAGTGGGACTTTTGATCCCACCACTGACCTCTCTCAGGAACTGTATCCACAATACACCTGTGAGGTGGGTGTCCAGTCACACTGCATGATGACTGATTTATCGCTTTATGCTTGCAGTCGATCATTCAGCCAAAACCAACAACCAAACAGCTGGTGTGGGGGCAGTTGAGCAAGTGTGGCAGTTGAGCAAGTGTGTGTGTGTGTGTGTGTGTGTGTAAGAGGGGGAAAAAGTCTGTGAATAATTGTGATAACTTGCTCATAACTTCATCCTGAAATCACAAATTTGCATCTGTTTTGCTCCACAGATTCTATGTTGTTGTGAATCAGGTCTGGCAGATTAAAATTGGTACATATTTCAGTTCTGCTATATCATCAAAATAAATATTAACAATAAAATTTGACATCAAAATTAATATTATCTCCAGTGTAGTAGCAAGCAACTATTTAATTTGTTGTTATAAATATTTGTATATATATTATATATACTGTTTTATAATATTTAATTCTTTCTCATGATTTCTGAGATAAAAGTAAAATAAATAAATTAAAAATTAAGTTTCCAATTATAACAAAACAGGGCATTATAGCATGCATAGTATATATATATATATATATATATATATATATATATATATATATATACTGTATATACTAACAGTTTTTCATGTTCACATTCACTGTGGAGCAAGTGGAAACTAATGGGATTTCAGGATAAAAATGAGAAATTTTCATTTAATACTGAAAAAAAAAAACCTTTTCATTTCCTCTTATTCCGAACACAGTGATGGATGTTTGCATGTTCCTTGCAACTTCAGTGATGTGTGTGAGATTTTGTGTACCTTTGTATCTCATCAAATATCTCTTCTGGTAAAGATGTGTGAATCTCTGTTACCATTACCGCAGAAATAAATTCATCAAGATACATCTACACCAGGAATTAAAAAAGAAAAAAAGGTAAGGAGGTACCGGTAGGTTGTTTCACTGTGGCCAGTATTTGTGAAGATTTAGAGTGAATCCTCTCTTTTATTCTTTCATTTGGGAAATGCTGATGTACAAGCCCAAATGCAAAAGACTCTTAAATATCCACTTGAACACGCTCATGTGCTAGCTTCAGATGGGGGTCCTTTATTTTGTTTATTCTAACTCTATAATGAAGAGAAAAGGGAATGCTGGGTACTGCACGTGTCACAGTCCGTTAAGGGAGCAGTGATGTTACCAATCCTGTCATGGCCCAAGGCAAGAGAGACAGAGAGGAGGGGCATCAGCTGGACATTTATTTATAGACACACCATGCAATAAGAATTTCATAAGTGAAATATGGTAATTTAAAATAGTTTTTAATGTTGTGAAATTCATGTTCCAATTATTTATAATGATAAACTATTTATTGATTTTGAGTTCACAATTTGTGTTTGCTGATATTTATTTGTAAAGCGTTTTTTAAATTCATTGAGAGTGGTTAACCCAGAAAAAAATAGAGTTTCTGTGTTTTGTGAAAGTGTTTTCTGAAACTTGTTTGAATATGAGGCTGAAATAAAATGGTAATCCACAACCATGTATTTTGTGTTTAATCTAGAGCCTATGTCTTGAAATGTAGGCTACTTCATTCATAGATTTTGATGTCTTTTGTGTATGTTTGCATGCATGTATGACAACAGCAATGTGTGTGTGTGTGTGTGTGTGTGTGTGTGTGTCATCTTATAAATCATATTAAGTGATGTTTTTTCAACATGTAAAACTGCACAAGTTGTCTGTGATGGGTAGATTTAGGGGTACGGTGAGGGTTGGGGGATAAAATATACAGTACAATATAAAAATCATGGAAAGTTCCCATAAAACATGGAAACCCAATGTGTGTGTGTTTGTGTGCCTTATAGGTGTAGTTTCACACCTCATGTAAGGAGAGAGAGAGAGAGAGAGAGAGAGAGAGAGAGAGAGAGAGAGAGAGAGAGAGAGAGAGAGAGAGAGAGAGGCTGGACTAATCAGAAGTTTGTCTTCACTGGAATGACTGGAAAGTTCTTTAGGGCAAAACAGTTTATCATGTAAAGACCAGGCAATGTCTTGTGCATTTCAACAACAAATTCTACTTGGAGGAAAATAATTCAGCCCTTTTCTGTCCCCTTTTCCAGTTTTTATGTCATTGGATTACATGTTTGACATTTGGAAGACCTATTATTATTATTATAGGTTTTGTGAAAAAACAACACTTCAGAGAGCAATGTGTCTTTTTGCCATTTATAACTAAATCTCAGATCAAATTTGGAACATCCCAACAAATGTTTAGGGATGTAAAGCAATGTTTAAAAGTAACCTACACAGAAAATAAGAATATGAACTGAATAATATGCCTGCTATCATTAAATCCCCCTGTCTCATCTCAGCAGAAATGTTTAGGGTGGCAGATGTAAAATCTGAACTCAAATCAAGTCTTTGAAAAGCCTCTGACCCTGACTGGATTTCCTGGCCCAGCTAAGCACTTATTTACTGCTAATTAAGTGATCTGAGCTCATTTTCCCAATCCTAATGGCATCATCCAGCTCCTCCAGGAAACACGCCGCTGCCCCCAGTACACTCTGGCACACGCACACGCTCCAATAAGGGCCCTTTTACCTCCCTGACATTAGCTTGTAATGCTATTAACCCATTCATCGTTAAGATGCCCACTTAAGCAAAATGCGAAAGATACCCATTTAACCGAATTTATTGCGGAGTGGGAAGAGATCGAAAAGCGTACATCTTCATGTTAATGCAGAGTTGTTAGGAATGCAGCTCACAACTAATGTATTCATAATTGTGTATTCTTGTTCCTCATTTCCAGCTTTCAATTCAATTCAATTCACATTTATTCAGTAAGTTTGATTAAGTTAAGTTGATGATAGCGGAAGATAAGTAGGCACTGTGACTTAATTTTTTTTTTTTTAATTGTCTTTAACCTCAGGATTATACAGTGAAAATATAGAAAACTATTTTTTGAAATAAAGTCTTAAGTCTTAAATATTTAAAGATGTTTTATAGCATCAAATTGTATGAACAAATATTTGACATTAATTCTTTATTTAAACTAAAATATTCCTCTAGATTTTTTAACACTGTACTTCAATATTTACGCCAATAAACCTGTACTAATCTTGATAGAGAGGCAGAATGTAGTCAGCAGTTGTCAATAATCAGTAAATACCAGCAGCCAAGAGATTCAGAGTGGGTCAGTGCATCCATGTCTGATGCTTAGTGGACCAGAAATCACTCATATGGAAGCCCCTCCCCCAACAGTTCATCCCAAGAAGACTGTTCCCTATGGAGACCTCATAATCCTCAATGTCAAAGCCTTTAGCCAAACACAGACAGAAAAGACCCGAGCAGACTCCTCAAAAACATTACATCGTTAATAGAGATTTTCTGTAAATCAAAAACTAACACAAAAAGCAGTATGTACTCATTTTACCTGCTCAACTAATAGAATTTCTGTAGTGCGCTATTGATAATGTATAGAATCATTTCGATTTTTAAGAAGTTAATAATTAAAGTATATATTTAATCCTCCAAAGAATTGTCCATTTGACCACTATTTTTTTCTCATTTATTGTTTTTTATTTATTTACTGATACTGTGTTTGATTTATGCAATGATCATTATGATCGCACAAATGATCGCTTGGCAAACAAGAGTGAGTAAAAAGAGTTGGACTGAACTAATGACGCAGAACACACTGGCGATGTGGGGGTTAATACCCCCAGCGCACCCCACCTCCGAATGTTCTGGGGCAGTGTGCTTCGGCAGCAAGGAGCCACTGTCACTCTCCATTAGCAAGAAAGCCCTAATACCTCCCATCCAAAACTGCCATAATGATATCACTAACCACGAGTGGCACCGCCGGTCATGCAGTGTCTGCGTATGTGTGTATATGTGAGCGAGACCTAATGTCCACAGCTTGACCTTTCACAAACACTTGTTTCACTAATCTGAACCTTTTTTTAAATGCCTTCCTACATCTTTTGTGTCTACTTGAATATGGTTTGAGCAAAATGAGAGGTTTGGTCTTCTACTTGACCTCAAAGAGAATATTGTTTTTGAATGTATAATATATATATATATATATATATATATATATATATATATACGTATATAGTATACAGTATGTATGAATATATTGTAGCCTATATATATATAGTATACAGTATGTATGAAGATATCGTATAAATATATATATATATATATATATATATAAATATATAAATATATATATACTCACTCACTCACTAGGTAAACCCTGCAGTCCCGGGAATCCAGGATGGACCCCCTTTTGTCTTTGGAACTGCTTTAATTTTTGTGGCACATATTCAACAAGGTGCTGGAAACATTCCTCAGAGATTTTGGTCCATATTAACATGATAGCATCACACATTTGCTGGAGATTTGTCGGCTGCACATCCATGATGCAAATCTCTCGTTCCACCACATCACAAAGGTGCTCTAATGGATTGAGATCTGGTGACTGTGGAGGCCATTTGACAATAGTGAACTCATTGTCATCTTCAAGAAACCAGTTTGAGATGATTTTATCTTTGTCACATGGTGCGTTATCCTGCTGGAAGTAGCCATCAGGAGATGGGTACACTGTGGTCAGAAAGGGATGGACATGGTCTGCAACAATATGACGACTGGCATTTAAACAATGCGTAATTGGTACTAAGTCTAAGAGGCCTAAGTGTACTAAGAAAATATCCCAGAAACCATTACACCACCACCAGCAGCCTGAACCATTGATACATTGATACAATTCATGTTATGTACGCCAAATTCTGACCCCACCATCTGAATGACACGGCAGAAATCAAGTCTCATCAGACTATAGGCAATGTTTTTCCAATATTCTTGTCCAATTTTGGTGAGCCTGTGCGATTGTAGCCCCAGATTCCTGTTCTTTGCTGACATGAGTGGCACCTGGTTTGGTCTTCTGCTGCTGCATCCAATGGGTTGGACGTGTTGTCCGTTCAGAGATCCTCTTCTGTAGACCTCAGTTGTAACGAGTGGTTATTTGAGTTGCTGTTGCCTTTCTATCAGCTCAAACCAGTCTGGCCAGTGTCCTGATAAATGATAAATACATTTATGATTAATAAAATATTTTTTTAACTCACCCCAAGTTTTTGAATTGTATTGTAATTCGAATTGTATTGTATCACAGTTTTCAC